CAGAGAGACCTGTATCTGAATCTGCGTCTGTGCCTGTCTGTGCGTCTGTGTGTCCAATCCCACCAGTTCCTGGTGGCGTCACCGACTTTGTCGAGTTCGCCTGTTCGAGTGTGAGATCGCTGCTGCAGCTCAAGTGCAAGACGGTGGACCTCCTGCTGCGGGGCCTGGACGCCGACACACGCAGCCGGCTCGAGTCTGCCGTGCCTTCCCAACTTAGCAGCAGGAAGGGCACGACCATATTGTGCTTGCAGCAAGGCAATAAGCTCGTGATAGCTACAGGTGTGTAGCGGCGTATGGGAATGGGCCAGCATTGATACGTGTGTACAGGGCCCATGGATGGGGTGAGACGGTGGGGATTGAGACGTTGCAGAAGCCCAGCTGGCTAGCTTGATCCCTGATCCTTGAGCTTGACTGTGTGTTGTGTGTTGGCGGCTGTATGCCAGGCGGGACATATTGGTGGATTGTAGCACAGCACACAGCACAGACAGTGGGGGCGTTGTCTGTCTTGTGGGCTGCATGGTGACATTCATGTGCAGCTGCGTACCTGCCTGCTTCAATACGTGTTGATGAGCAGCTATACGCAATTGCAATCACCGTTGGTATTCAGATCGATATCAACAGTGTCTATCGCCAAGTCACTAGACAGTGCATTCGTCCACCAACCATCCACATGCGATCGACCAGCCACATCCATCCATCCATCCACTTCGTCGCCTCACAGCTTTAAGCTCGTCTTCTCAGAGTGCGCGTCTGCGTCAGCTCAAATGATGCGCCAGACAGCACCGCCAGGGCTGCACACAGTGCACCACACACACATATAGATCACCGACATGAACACAGCCGCGTGTGTGTGCCCTGCCCCACGCACGTACCTCTCTTCATGCTGTCGATCTCATCTGACCGCGCCTTCTGGCGGAAGTCGTAATTGTCCAGCAGAAAGTCACACTGACAGAGCGAGAGAGAGAGAGAGAGAGAGAGAACTGTCCAGTGTGCTTCTCCTTGTGTTTGGTGCGGTGTCTGTCTGGCCGACCGAGCTGTGCAGTTGGGCCTGATACTCGTGAACGGCCTGAAGCTGCTCCTTGGCAGCCTTGCGCGCATCCTGGACACATACATGAGAGAGATGTTGACGTGAAGAAGGCGTCAGATGGCCTGAGGCAGAACAGAACAGGTACCTTGCTCTCTTGAATCATGGCGAGAGACTCTGATCTGGCGGCCTCCTTGTCGACAATCGACTGACATTCAACACAACACAAACACAATACACAGATGGAGAGAGACATCCCTCCCTCCCTTCATCCATCCACCCCTCTCGTCACCTTTGAGTCTGCGGCCCTTTTGTCCTGTGCGTCGCCAATCATGGTGTCGTAGTCACGCTGCGCCGTCTCCTCGTCCTTCTTGGCCTCAGCCATCTGACACACACACACACATGGGCACATGTGAGGAAGGAGCCTGGTGTGTCTGGTCGGGTGGTGAGGCCATTACGTCGACGCCGAGTCCGGAGATCATTTTGGTCATGATGGACATGACGCCGCCCGACTGCTCCGTCTTGGTCTGGTAGGCGTCCCATGTCTCGGGGGGCGGGGGAGGCGCGTCGACACTGCCGCCTCCACTCTGCACTCACAGAGAGACACGCAGAATGTTTATTGGCTACATATGTGGATTGGATTGAACGTGCCTGGAAGAGTAGGGGGTAGGCATATGGCGACGGCGGAGAGGTGGTGGGGGCAGCCAACTCAGGATTGTAAAACTGATTCAACCTGCATACACACACACACGAGTCCTCTCTCTATCTGTCCCTTCACACACACACACACAAGCCCCAAGGCACCTGTCGGCGGCCTTGTTGAGTAGCGCCTTGGCCAGATTGAGTTCGCTCATTTCCTGTGTAAACTCCTTCTTCTCCTGCTGCCGCTGCTCCGTGGCATCCTTGACCGACTCATCGAGGTCCTTGATCTCCTGCGTGACAGTGGCAATCTCCTCCGTCAAGACGTCAACCTTCTCCTGAACAGCCGCAGACCGACACGCAGGGAGGGAGGGAGACAGAAAAATGGGCGAATGGGTGCATGACGGGGCGTGTGGTGTGGTGTGTTGTCTCCTGCCTTCAGCTTGGACAGTTTGGTCTCCAGGTCGGTGATTTGGGTCTCGGTGTCCTGAAAAGGAGACAGGAGAGAGGCGGACTCTTATCCGGGCTGTCATGTGATGGGTCTGGTGTGGTGATCCTACGTCTTTCTTGTTTGCGTTCTTGTGGGTTTCGGCCACACACCAGTCCTTCTGCCTGCGGCACACAAGGCAATGGAACGGACGGACAATCATGAGGATGTGTGCGTGTGTGTGGATGGCCATGCTTACTTGTCGTCGGTCTTCTGTTCCTGCCCCAGGACACCGATCATCTTCTGTATCATCTTCTTGACGCCATCCATATTGATCGCACCTTCACACAGACACAATTACACACACACACACATACACACGGAGAGAGAGGGAGGGAGGGAGAGAGAGAGAGACAAAGGCCAGGATGTGTTGTGTTTGGGCGCAGGTGCAGTCATGTGTAGCCATACCGACCTGATCGCACCCTCATGGCCAGGGCGGCCAGCTGTGGTTTCTTGAACTCCTTGGCCGTGTCCATCAGCATCTCATACGCACTCTGCCGGGGGTTGCTGCCCGTCTGCACACAGATGGACCCTTGGTAGCATCTCCTCGCTCCGCCCACCCATCTGTCGGTCTTGTACGTACCTGTATGAGTGCGGGTGCCTCCTCCTGGTTGGGTGGCGGGAGTGTCTTCTTAAACAGGTCCAGTGCATCGTCATCGTTGAGAATCTTGATCGTCTCTGGAGGAACGAGGAAAAGGGAAGCATCCGGCAGATCCATCCCAAAGCCCACGCATATTTGTTCTCCTTTCTCGGTGTGCGTACCCGAGATTGCGGCCATCTCCTGTGCACGAACCTTCTGGCGGTCCTCCCTGCGACAGAGGGGCATCCACCCATGCCCATACGTCATGTCGATGTGTGTGTGGTAGGCACCTACCATTCGTCAGCTTTGGTCTTGCAGTCGGTGGCCATGTTGGCGACGAACTTCTTGTTCTCCTCCAGAGACCGCTGCACACACGCGAAACGAGAGCAGAGGCGTGCTGAGTGATTGAGTGGAGGCTATGTATCCTGTCCTCGCCGACCGTGGTGTCCTCAATGTCGTCTTCGCTGTCTGCGAGTATCTTGGTTGCGTCCGCCAGCTGCACCTGCTTGCTCTCCACCGCTTTCTCGGCTGCCATAATCTCCTCATTCTTGGCAGCCGTCAGCTCTGGATGTGCACAGTGTCACACAGAGGGCGGGCGCAGAGAGAGACACACACTGACAGGCGAATGCGGCAGCTTCACCCCATCTCTGGCCGACCTTCGAATGCCGCCTTCGCTTCCTCCTCCTGAGAATCGAGACACGAAGGGTTAATGATGTGGTGTGGGCGGGCATCTCTGTCTCTTTCACGTGTGTGACGGCTCCATTGAGGTCCTTGTCAAACTCGGCCAGCATCTGCTTCAGTATCCCAAGGATCTCACCTGACTGCACACAGACGACAACAGACACAACAGACACAACAAATCAACTGCATAGACACCCTCCTGCATGTGATGTGGTAATGGGGGCCACCCACCTGTGCGGCATATCCGCCCTTCATGTTGGGTTGCTGGATGAAGGAGTTGAGCAGCTGACGCTCATCCATCGACAAGTTGCTGCACACACAACGACACGGCCATCAACAGATCCACAACATGACCATGGAGGTCTCTGCTCTCCTTGTGTGTACCTCATTCGCGTGATGGCGTTGACGCGGCGAAGGGTCTGCGCCACACTCAGGAAGGCGCCACCCATCCCTGCAGCACCAACCAACGAGTTATGCTTGCTGGGGCGAGTGGCTGGCTGCCGACCTTTTTCAAGTGCGGGGATCGCCTTCTGCAGTGCTGCAATGCTCTCCTGCAGACGAAGAGAGGACGGACAAGGAGAGAGGAAAAGGCGGATCAGCTGCAGGAAACGACCGTACCTTGAGATCTCCCGACTCCTGTGCGAACTCAGCGGCTTCCTTCTCACGAATGGATGTCGCCTCTGAGACCGCTTGACGGTCCTGTGCAAAACGCACAGTGCAAAGAAATGATATGAGCACAGATCTATCTCCCTCTCTCTCACCTCTTCGATATCTTTCTTGTGTTCCTCTATCTCCTGCGTGAGCCGTGTCTTGGCGGCCTGGGCCTCCTTAACGTGACCGCCGAGCTCCCTGCACACACAGAAGGAAGGCATCCCAACTGTCCTGGCAGTCCATCCCTCTCTGCGTTTCTCCCACTCGAGATGGGTCTCGGCGTCTGCGATCTGTTTTTCCAGCTGGGCAGTGCCCTGCAGCACACCCACACAGATCAGATCACCCCTCACAGTGGTAGATCTGGCCACTGACGCCTCCCTTGGCCCGACCTTTTTGCAGTAGCATTCAAACTTGTTGTACAGCTTCTCCTCCCTCCTGCCTTCCTCCTCGGTCTGCTTCTGCATCTCCTGCAGCAGCCGGACCACCTTGCGGATGGGGTTGTCTCCCAGCCCTGACGCTGACGTCAAGCGAAGGCGGCTGCAGTGCGCCGGGGACATGAAGAGACATGCGGAGAGGAGCAAGATCTTCACAGTGAGCAAGGCCTTCATTATGATCCCGTCAGCCTTCAGGGGAAAATCGGCTGCAAAAGGCGAAAAAAGAAGTCGGCCAGGTGGATGGGGGCGAGCTTGTAAATGCCTTCACCACCAGAGATGAGCGATGCCAAGGAGCTTGACCAGCTGCTGACCCCAGGTCCGTACGAGCAGCTGTACCACAGATGCGAAATCGACGCTCTCATCCGCAAGTGGACATCGCACGCTGGTCGGACTCCCGGCGACGGGCAGCGCACGCCGCCCTCGCCTTCGCAGCACCTCTATCTGCCGCCCACACCCGGCCCGGCCTCCGCCAACGCCAATGAGCCCGTCCGCACGACAACACACCGGTCCGTGCTGCCGATATCGGCTGTATTTCTTGCTGAAGAGCTGCTGCGGCAGGTGCTCCAGGGATACGAGGACGTGCCGTTTGATGAGGTTCGCAAGATGGCAGAGGAGCTCGGGGGATGTGGCGGCGCTGCCGAGGAGCCCGTGCGCCGCACTGCCAGGATGGTCTTTGATGACAGCCTGGATGAGAGGGACCTGATGCCGCCGTCGCAGCATGACGACGACGTAGACCAGCCGCCGGGCGATGCGGTGGACCGACATGAAGAAGGTGGTGGGGATGTGGGAGATGAGGCCGATGAGCTGGGCGGCAGAGCTGAATCGCTAGAGAGTGTCGAACCTTCTTACTCTGACCATCCGGACCATCCGGGAGTGGAGGCTGCGGCGGGTGGTGGGGCTCCAGCACGCCAGTCTGTATCGCCTCTCCCCCTCAGCCCCTCTCCCTCGCCCTCTCCCTGTCCCCCTTCCCCTGGCGCGCCTCTGGCCATCTCTGACGAGCCCTTTGTCCCCTTCACCCAGCTAGATTCCCCTGTTTACGGCTCGCCCTTCGGTGCGGGTGAAGCCGCTCTGCAGCAAGACGAGGTCCTCGATGGCTTCGACGTGGACGACTCGGACCAAATCGCATACGACGACGACCCCTACTCGACCGAGAGATTCCGCATCGTCGGCGAGTTAGAGGCAGAGGCAAGAGGGGACGAGATAGAGGAGGAGGAAGAGGAGGTGCATGAGCGATCCCAGGCGGCCAGTGGGTTTTCTGGCGTCTTCAACAACGCCGGTGTCCTTGACAGCGAACCGCTGGCCTTCATCTCGCCCACCCCCCCAAACCCTGACCGCAGCGGTGGCCCTCCGTCCTTCGGCGCCCCTGCAGTCCCCATCCCTCCCCTCACGCCACCCGAGAGCCAGCACCAGCAGGACGATGATTGCGATGAGCTCACAGAGGGAGAGGACAATGGCGACGATGACGGACAGGAAGCCCCCCGGGAGCCAGCCGAGGACACGCCCAAGTTCGGCGGCTCGGCTGCCACGCCGCATTCACTCACGGATGTGTCAGACGGGGAGGCAGAGGGAGGGCCGCGGGAGCGCCCGCTCCTGTCCAAGTCGCGGCCTGTGTACCAGCCGCTGCGCATGGGGGCGAGGAAGTCGAGTGCGCCCCGTCGGAAGAACCTGGTGCAGGGGTTTGCGTGTCTGCGTGAGGGCAAGCCACGGAGGCGCCGTGAGGGGCTTATCGACACATGGAGGGATGGAGAAGGGGAGACGGAACACGGGGATGGGCGGAAGGGTCTTAGGAAGAAGCTGTTCGGGTGAGTCGATGGAGAGGCAGGATGAACAGACAGTATGAATGCCCTGTCTCTCTTTCCTCTGTTGTCTGCTGCAGTTATCAGGAGGTGGCCTTGGAGTGGATGATCCAACGTGAGGAGGCGGGGGTGACATACCCGTCGGGGCCCATCGACGAGTGCAGAGACTCGGCTCACTTCTACGCGCACAATATCCGGGGAGGTGTCCTCGCAGACGCGACAGGTGGGTGCATCGCGTCGCCGTCGTTCGTCCATGTGGAGTGTACACGCGTGTGCGTGTGTGTGTGTGTGTGTGTGTCAGGTCTTGGCAAGACGATAGTGACGATAGCATTGATCGAGCAATGCCAGCAGCCGGGGCCCACTCTCGTAAGCGCTCCACCAGACCATAATGGCCCGCAATCCGTTTCTTGTCGTCAGGTTGTGTGCCCATCCAACCTGGTTGACCAGTGGGTGTCTGAGGTCCGCAAGTTCGCCCCTCAGCTGACGGTGCGGTCGCTCAAAGGTCCGTGTTACGGCAAGGACGGAAGAAACCAGCGCGCAACGAGCAGTGTTGGCTTGGCATTGTCTGTGTTGTTATCATCAGGCCCCAAGAAGCTCCGTCCCGGTGTGACGCAGCTGCAGAGATATGACGTCATAGTGGCCTCCTACAATCAGATCATAGCCAAGGTGAGAGAATAGCAATGCCCGGCCATCCATCCCAACACACACACGTGCACATGTCTCCCGGCCGTCACCAGGATCACGACCCTCCCACCGACGTGCCACCCCTCAGCAAGACTCCACACCCAGAGTACTCAGCTGACGCGGACTCGGACGATGCCGACCGGCCCCATAAGCCACCACCGCCCGTCACGCCATCCCGCTGGACCAAGAAAAAGACCAACAAGGGCAAAGGCGGCATACCCATTCCTTGCTCCATCGCAGCCAGCCCCTCCCCTTTGACCCACTCGAGGAAGGTCAAGACCTTCCGCAGGCTGCGGCCGGCCAGTGCGGTCGACAGGCCACATGAGACCAAGAAGAAGGCCAAGGCCGTCCGCAAGAAGCCCTCGAGCGACAGCAGTGACGACATCGAGGAGTGCGGCAGCAGCGATGGTGACTCTGAGGGGGCGAGCGACGCGGGGGGCAAGGGGGCGGCGGGGAAGCGGCGGCCTTTCGCTGCCAAGCCCAAGGGCGGCAGGCGGGGTCCCCCCGGTGTGTCTGTGTTCCACCTGATGGAGTGGCTGCGGGTCGTGCTCGACGAGGCGCACCTCATCTCAAACGCCAGGTGGGTGACCAACACACCAGACCCGAGACACAGCACACGCCTCTCTCTCTCCCTCTCTCTCTCTCTCTCTCCCGTCCCTGCGCTCAGGAGCCAGCGTGCCAAGGCGGCGTGCAGCCTGCGGTCTCGCTACCGGTGGGCTCTCACAGCCACGCCCTTCATCGGCTGTGGGGACGGCTGCTGGTCCAGAGGCAAGAAGAAGCGCCCCACGCTGCTGTCTGCGAGGAACGGCTCGACCGGCTCGCAGGTCTTTTGCCGCGTCAACAGGAGCGTCATGGCGTTTCTGGGGTTCCCGCAGCCGACCAAGGGGACCCCTCCGTGCAACGAGGCGGATATGTGGCAGATCGTCACTCTGAGACGTAGCAAGAAGGAAGTAGCCGAGTAAGGAGGGAATACACAACAAAATGGCGGCACACGGACAAGTCGGGCAGCCAGCTGCTTCTTATTGTGTCGTTCGTTCATGTGTGTCAGGTTGATGGATGATGAGGTGGCACTGCCCGACATGGCCTACTCTGTGCAGCTGCTCGACTTCGCACACCCAGACGAGGCCCAGCTGTACTCCCACATCGAGGAGTGCGCCCTCGCCCGACACACGACACCGCAGCACCAACACCAGCACAGCCCCACCAAAGACGGCACCCGCCTCAAACACAAGAAGCCACAGCCACCACAGCCACCCTACGTGACCCTCAACCCTCTCGAGTCGCTGCTGCGTCTGCGGCAGGCCTGTCTCCACCCATCCCTCGTCGACCAATGCAGAGAAGAAGACGAAAAGCCCCCACGGGTGATCCGCATCAGCACACTGGCCCTCAGGCGCATGCTCGAAGAGCAGAGGGGCCAGCGGAAGGCCTCCGGTGGTGTGGTAGAGACACAAGGGGCGGGGGAGAGGGTGGACGTCAAGAGTGAGGGGTTTGTGAGCAGCAAGGTGGGGGCGCTGGTGGGCGAGTTGGAGCGGGTGTGGGGGGAGGGGTCGGCGGTGGCCCGCGAGAAGGTGGTCGTCATGTCGCACTTCGCCAGCTTTCTGAAGCTGCTAGAAAAGAACCTCAACAAGCATTTCGGGTGGGTGGGTGTGTCTGCGTGAGTGCGGGTGTCTCGCCTTGGTAGGTATATCTGTTTTTGTGCGTTGTTTGTTGGGTGTCAGGTTGGGCGGTTGTGGCGTCTGTGTGCGTCTTGACGGCAGCGTCACCCCCATCGAGCGGCAGCTGAGGCTGCATCGACTCAAGAGAGACAGGTGACACAGACACGACCCCCATATATGACATGTACACATCTGCCTACCTGTGTGTGTGGGTGCAGTCACATATCGGTGTGTCTCCTATCGACGACGGCCAACCTGCAGGGCATCAACCTACAGGTCCACACGCACATTGCGAGACACACACACACACACGTCCATACACCAGGCATGTGTGTGTGGGTGTGATCTATGCATCATCAGGCTGCGGGTCGTCTGTATCTCTGTGAGCCATCCCTCGGTGCCGATCGGCTCCAGCAAGCCATCGGCCGACTCGTGCGCATCGGGCAGACACGGTGACCAAACAACCATCCCACCTGGAGGCCGTGTTGATATGTGTGTGTGTGTGTGTGTGGTGCAGGTCGGTGATTCCTGTAGTCGTGTTCGCCATGCGTGGCACTGTTGAAGAGCGCATGATGGATGAGGATCCCTTTGGCGAGCGGCAGGCGCAGACCGCCTCGGCAGCAGACAGCGATGACGACTTTCGGTAGATAGCTATAGCTAGTCGCCCGTGTGCAATGTGATCGTGATCGAGAGCTCTCGCGTACATGGACCATTCTTGTACATGAAAGTGCCCATTCCAACACACATCAAGTCACCGGAAAGTCACGAAACAACTGACAGACAGACAGACAGACAGACAGAGGGCACCAGGCCTGCCTACATTGTCCGTCCCATCAGATAACGCGCGCTGCCGCAATTGCGAGCCAGAAGGCAGACATGAGAATCGCCGACAACACATGAATGCGGGCCCACTTCTGCCGCTGGCTGCCTTTCCGCGCATCCAGGTTCAATATGAATACGCAGCATCCAATCAGGGGCAGACCGAGCGTCGCCAGGAGCAGACACTGCACACACAGATCCATGCCGTATGCGAAAGAGACATATATACAGACAGTGAGGGAGACAGAGAAACATGTTCACCTGTATGCAGACGACTGAGCCTTCCTCGACCAGTGCCTCCGGGTGTTTGTCTCCCACTCTGGCCGCCACCGCCGGATACGGCAACTCCGACCCGTCGCTTTTCAGGAAGACCGACTCTTTTATCCCACCCGTATACAGCCGGAACATGTTGTTCCACCGGCCGCTCAGGGACGACCGCACCGGGTGGTTCCTCGCAGCTGTGGACGCGTTCTGAGGCCTGGCCTTGGTTTGGGGCTGGGTCTGCTTGTTCCCTCTGGCTGCCAGCTCTGGGATGATGTCCGTGGCGCTGATGCGCGGCGCCTCTGTCCTCTGTGAGGGGGCCGTCATGTTGGATGCTGATGGCTGGTTGCTGTCGTCACCGCTGAACCGGAGCGAGCGGGAGACGTCGCCGGCGTGTGCCTTCGGTTGGGCAGTGAGCCGCATGCTGCTCGATTCTGCCGTGGGGGTCATCTGCTCTGGTGACACTGTCTGCCCGTATCCATATCTCTCGTAGATGGACAGAAGAGACGACGGGTGTCGCGGAGGGGAGGGAATGACGAACGCGGCTGTGGCCGACACATTCTCGAGCTTTGGCTGGTGTGGCTCGTCAGGGCTCACTAGCATTTCATCCTCATCCCCGGATGCAGGGGGCACAACAATGCTCTGCGATGAAGACAGAGGCAGGTTGAACGCCATCGGGGAATGGTCGCCCGTGGCCCCAAAGATGGTCTTCGGGGGGCGCCGGCGCGACCGGTGCCTCTTCCTCCCTCCCCTTCGCAGGCATGAAGATCGTCGTGCTCGCGTGCCTCCTCTCCGTGGCGGCCTATGCCCAGGGCGACCCCATCACCTTCAGTGACGAAGAGCTGAGCCGTGCCGTGAGCAACACGAGACTCTTCCTTCGTGGCCTCAGAGAGGCCCTCCAAGTTAGTGAGCTCCGGCGGCTCGAGACGCCCCTGAGTGATTTGAGGTGGCTGAAGGCTCCTGGCTGTCCGCCCAACCGAGGGCAGCCCAACTGCTGCGACGCCTTCACGAGAATGGAGGAGCTCTTCGACGATCAGACAATGCCTGAAGGCTGTACCGATGCCTTTGAATTGAACTCGACAACCCTGGACGAGACAAAACTCGTCAACGTCTGCGGAACTGACGGCTGCGTGGATGAGCTGCAGGAGGCTATCTACAACAAAACGAGAAAAAGAGGCGCGGGGTGCGCCTTCTATCGCTCCGTGCGTCGTCAGGTGGGCCGAAGAAAGAAGCAAGAGTTTCGATCTTATCCGTTGGCCCAATCGTTCAGTATGACGCCATATGCAAGAAGGATGCGAACGACAACTACTGCTGGCCCGACCTCGATTACCATATTGAGCTGATCACGCGCTCTCTGAAGGGGGAGGCTGTGATAAACGACACGAATCTCGACGACCTTTATGCCCGTGGTAAGTTCACCGGGCCGACATTTGTCTGCTGTATGATTGTCGCTGTTTTCACCCACAGGCAGCTGCTTCTACAGCAATCTCCGGTTTGTCAAGAAGCGCCTGACCGCCGAGTGGATAGCGAAAAACTGGCTGTCGAACATCCGAGCAATGAACTTCTTCCTGCCGCAGGTAGGTGGCATGATGTCATTCACGCATGGGGCTCGTTCGTGCTCACAACTTACTTCTTGGCCTGTCCATGTATATCTGCATATGATGTGCGTCGCAGCTGGCTGTCAAGATTGGCACTACCTACTGTTGGCCCAAGGCCGTCGAGATCCTCGCCCGTGGACCGGAAGGGATGCAAGAGGTGAGTTGAGGATCTGGTGCTGCCATGGATATGTATGTGTATGCCAGCCACACGCACGCAGACGAACATGTGTACATGTCTCTCTATCTCTCTCTCTCTCTCCCTCTGTGTGTGTGTGTGTGTGTGTGTGTGTTCCTCTGGTGCAACCGCCATGCATTCATTCGAGCAGTGGTTAAAGAAGAAAGTGAATCAGATGTGGACTGAGCCCGAGGACTTCTGCAGCGAGGCATGCAACCCCTATATGCTGCGCATTGTTGCGACTTTCGGGTGGCTGGCGGTCAGCCCGACAGATATCGACGACCTCGACGACCCGGACGATTTTGTGGGGGAGCCTTCTGGCGACAGCCTGTGGGAGACCCTCAGCCCTGAGGGCAGAAAGTTTGCTGGTGTGGCACGCACAACAAGGTTCACATGCATGAAGAACGTCAATGGTACCTACTGCGGTGAGCCAATGAATCGGTGGGACATGTCTCCCTTACAAATATAATATATATAACTCACCTCGGCCTGTCCCTTTATCTGGATATCAGGGAAAGCGATCCGCGAAGGCGGCGACCTTGGCGCAGTAAGCACAGACACACATTTTAGTTAAGCATACCTGCCGATTCGTTCCTCCCTTGCAGGACGACGATGATGTCACGTTCCCCACTGAAGCCGCCAGTGAAGCCCCGGTTAGCACGACAGGTAAGGCCGCAAATGACACACATATACACATGCGACACATCGCAATGTCCTCTAGGCGCAGCTCCTGTTGACGGCATGTCCTCTAGCACCGAGGACATCACTCAGGGAGAAATCAGCACCAGCACCGAAGAGATCTTTCAAGGGGTCAAAAGCACCACGGAGGATGTCAGCAGCGAGTCACCAGACCCCGACGACGACATGTCATCGACTACAGACTTCCCCTCGCCCTCTCCCTCGCCCTCCGGTGGTCGCCTGCTCGAGGCCCTCTACGATGAGTGGGCTGCTGATGACCCTGCCCTCCGCTCTCTCCTCAGGGTCGAAAGGGGAGAGCTCTGGGACTGGCTGCGGCGGGTGGCGAACGCCTCTGGTACAGGCGGACAACGAATGTAGAGAGGGAGAACGGGAGACGGTAGCTTGACATCACGTTGGTGTCTCCGTCTTGCAGAGTACTGCATGGACATCCGGCAGATGGTTGACGACTACGGCTGCTGCGGGGCTGCCTTCTTCGGTAAGTGCTACTAACCCCGCGGGGACACGTAGGCTGACACTCACATGCACGCTGACTGACGCAGAGTGGAAGGCCGACATGCTCCGCATCGGAGCCATCGACGGTGACGAGACACCCGCTGCACGGCGTCGGGAGGCAAGGTACATCAAGACTCAGCTCGCCGTCGCCCCAGCCATCTGCAACAGGCGCCTCGACAGGACATGCGCCGCGGGTCGAGCCCTCAAGTAAGGCACGGACACAACACGCAAAAAGACAACATCCGTTTACGCTGGTTGTACTGTGCAGACGGCTGAAGCGCCTGAAGGCAGTGGCAAAAATCGCGGGTTTCAATTGCGCTCAAGCGCGAGCAAAGCAGGAAAAATTCGACGACTTCATTTCCAAACTCGAAGAACAGCTGGTGACTAACGGACGGACCATTGCGCCCGTTTCCACGCCTGTCTCTCTCTCTTCCTCTGTCCCCTTCTCTGTGTTCTCTGTGGGTGTACTTGTTCGTGCAGATGGCCCTAGGTTTGGCGGAGACGGACTCGGACATCAGCATCACTATCTGTGACTACAATCCTGACCACGAGCTGGTCAAACAGACAGACAGATACACATACACACAGATGGATGGATGAGCTGTGTTGGAATGTATGTGTACAGGTGGACCTGGGCACAGGAAAGAAGCCGCCTCCAACCACGGCCCCGCCGGCCGGCGGCGGGGTGCCTTTGTCCCCGCCCAACCGACTCCTCTCGGTATGTATGGAACATTCATGTCGGCAGTATTAGGGGGAGGGGGTGGAGGAGACACTGCATGAGAGCATCATATGCAGGAAGGGACTGACATCGAGATATCCGTGGAGGGCAGCGACGATCTCGCCGACAACACCGAGGTCGCGATCCAGCAGCTCTACGAGTCAGGTCAGTAACAGGCACGGAGGCTGGCAGGCGGGCCCTCTCACCTACCGACCGAAATGGATATGTGGATGTGCAGGTGACTTGGCTGAGGCCATTGAGGCGGCCGCAGAAGGCAACGACATCTTCGATGGCGTCCCGGAACTCCTTCAGCTCGAAGCAGTAAGTACTCAACCAAAGCACCACTCACAGTCTTGGCGTGTCTCCCTGCGTGTCCACTTTTGCGCAGACTACCGAGACCGAAACACCCCCCGAGGCAGGGGAGGGCGGTGAGGAAAATGGCAATGGCAACGGCAATGGTGGCGACAACGGTGCGGCCCTCATGACCGCCGCCCCGGTGCCCATGATTTCCGTTCTGTGCATCGCGGCTATGAGTGCGTGGATGTGAGCCGGAAGGCCGATAACAAGGACATATAGTAGCGTGCGATATACTATATGTATATGACCTATACATAGTACATACATACATACGGAGGGCCGTCGATCATATGTATGTACATAATAGATAGGTATATAGATCTTGCTGTCTTCCTTGTTTGTTTCGTTGGTTGGTTGGTGTGGTCGTGCGCTGTTCTTTGGGTCTTAGCTGTCTGTCTTTTGGTCGGTTGGTTGATTCAGGCACCAGCACTGGTGGCTTTCTTCTCTGCTGTCTGGTGTCTGTTGCTCTCGCGGACAAGCATATTACGTACATATTCTATACACTGAACTGTACGTATCCTGCACGCCAACGAATGGATGAAAGAAAGAATGAACGACAGCATCAAGTGTCTTCAGGGAAAGGGCGACAAAGAAGGCCATTTCTCGTGCTTCTTCTTGCAGCTGGTGTCGGTCGTTGCCAACGCGACAAAAAAGTACTGCTGCGAGTAGGTCCACTGCAGCAGGCCAATCGCGTCGCCCATGGAACGGCCGACACCAGCGGCAGATCGATCAACGGAAACTCGTGTATCAGCCGACACACAGGTAGATAAAGGAAAGGGCAACCTGTCTTCCATCGCATGAAACCCGCCGCATCAGACCAGACTGTACAAGCATCCACCCTCGCCACGCCCGCACAATAGAGGGAGTCGCACAGCCTCGCTAGTCGTCGCTCATGAGCATCGAAGGCCCCACCAGAGTGCCCTCCAGGGCCTTCGCCCTGCTCTGCTCCTCAATCAAAGCATCGGGGAAGAAATACGAATACCTTATTGACAAACACACACACACACACACACAGAGAGAGAGAGACAAGAGTGAAGCAGGTGAGCATGGAGATGGAGGGAACCCACCGTCTCTGTGAATGTGTGTGTGTGTGTATGTGTGGCGCCTTACTTGCACTCGTCTGGTTCTGGTGCTGGCCGATAGGCGAGGACCATGCCGCACTCCTTGCACACATACCTGGAGCCACGACAGGCGGACAGGTGCTCGTGCGAATGATTGCCTATGTGTGCGTCGTGGGCGCTGTGTGACACACACCTGTATTGAGTCTCGACGCCCGTCCCCCGCATGATCAGGACCTTGTCGCCCTCGTTCATGTAGCGCTTCACGAAGTACTCGGCCTCCTGCGCACATCCATCCAACATCGACCACGCCGTGCGGAATGTCTGCTGTCGCTCGGCTGCCGTGTTTGTGTGTTTACCTCGAGTGCCGCCGCTCCATCGGATGTGCGTGTCGGGAGGGAACTGAGGTCGGCGTCGGTCACCAGGGAATGCGTGCCGCAGACCTGCACACACCAGCTGAGTGGATGATGGACAGAGACTGGTGTCCTTAGTGTTCCCTACCTCGCAGTAATAAGTGCGCAGTTGCTTCTCTGTGCGCGTTATGTGGCTGTCCTCACTGGTGTAGTTCTGATATATACACACACACACACACACAGAGACAACAGACAGACATCAGCACACTCCGATGAGGCCGGCTGACAAGTGGCTTAGTGTGTGACTCACCAACAGCTGCATTTACAGAGAGGAACGAGCGAACGAAGCGATACAAACAACACACAGACAAGCAACGCACATTCCCCCATGCTGATGTTGTGATCTGTCTGTCTGTCTGTGCACCTTACCTTGACTCTCTGCAGGTGCCTTTGTTCGATGGTTTCCTCAGCTTCCTCCTTCTGCCGTCGCCGAATGGCAGCCAAACTCTGACCGCTGGCCGGCTTCTGAGGCGGAGGCATCGTGGGAGGCACCTCCATCTCCGGACGACTCAACAGCGCCATCACGCAGGCAACTTATCAGCAACGGACAGCACCACCGACACTCACTGAGCTAAGATGACGCTCCCAATCCTCGTCAGCAGCGGTTTCAGGTCTGCGAGCTTAGCTCAAAAAAGCTCGCAAGTCGGAGAAGGGTGAAGGCAGCAGTTCAGGAGCCGCGCGTGAATCTCCAGTGCTGGCTGATCCGTCTGTGTGCCAGTGCGACCATCGGCATTGACGCATACGCAACTCAACGATCAAGTCAACGATGATGCATCGCGGCGCAGATCCGTATGACCCGTACAGCCACAGCGGGATGGCGCCGCAGTTCGACGGGCCTCTGGGCGGGATGGCTGCGGCAGCCGCACGGCAAGGCAGCACGCCGTCGATAGAGATCACCGAGATGAGCGACGAGGTCCTCAAGTTCACTCTCACCAACTGCCACGACTCGATGGCAAACGCACTCAGGAGAATCATGGTACGTTCTTCTCAGGGGAAGTGAAGTTCCCACCCGACGGTTGGTCATTGGTGTGTGTGTGTGTGTGTCGGGTGGTCAGTTGGCGGATGTGCCCACGTTGGCCATCGACTTGGTGACGGTTGAGGAGAACGAGGGCGCGCTGCACGACGAGTACCTCGCGCACAGGCTGGGCCTGCTGCCCATCGACTCGCGGCACGTCGCGGAGTACAGGAGGAGACAGGTACAGGCGCACGCACACTCACAGTCACACTCACACACGCTGTCCTGAATGTGACCATTGATTGCGTCTGACTGACTGTCTGCAGGAGTGCTCGTGTGCGGAGAGCTGCGTGCACTGCACTGTGCAGTATGACCTGGACATTACCAACTCGGGGGCCGACCAGCGGTGTGACGACAGCGGCGACCTGCCGGTCTACCATACGGACATACAGCCAGGGCAGGAGGGGGCTGACGTGCCCATGCCCGTCCAGCCAGGACAGGTAGGTATGCCGGCGGGCAGGGCAGGGCAGACAGACACGCACCCATCCATTAGGCAGACGCCCCTCTCTGTGCGTGTGCGCTTCACAGGATGAGCACGGCGGCATCTTGTTGACCAAGCTGGCCAAGAACCAGCGGATCAAGCTGCACCTGACCGCCATCAAGGTAAGAAGTAGCAAACGAGATGCACACAAAGAAATGCCGGCCACAACACGGCGGTATGTCATTCGTTGGCGCTGCAGGGTTCAGGTCGCGTGCACGCCAAGTGGATGCCCGTGCAGACAGCATGCTTCAGGGTGAGCCTGGGAGGGAGGGAGGGAAGGACGGGCCAAATCTCACCATGTAAACCTGCTGTGGTGTGTCCTGTCCTGTGTGTGTGCAGAGGGACCCGATCATCACTGTCGACCCAGACCGTATGCAGGCCGCCCCTCTCGACCACAAACTCAGAATGTATGTCCACACATGCACTTGTCCAGGCAGACACCGCAGCCACACGTCCTCACACACCCTGTGTGCTGTGTGTCCCCCGCAGAGCGGCCGCATGCCCCACAAAGGTGTTTCGCGTCGACGAGGAACAAGGTGACGAAATGACTGACGGCAGAACCAAAAGATAGTCTGGCTCTGTGCATTGCGAATGGTGTCTGTGCACCCTTGTTGACACACAGAGGAGGGCGGCACCTTTATCGTCGAGAAGCCCCAGCAGTGCATGTGAGCATCCGACCGACCAAGCATTAAATCGACCAGGAACGTGTAGACCAACGTGTGTTTCATGACACTCTCTCTGGTGTTCAGGTTCTGCGATGAGTGCACCATGGCAGCCGAGGAGCTGGGTTACCGGGACCTGGTCGCCGCTCGGGAAGACCAGCACAAAGTCCACTTCACCATCGAGGTACGTAACACACGAACCACACCACCACCACCACCACCACCACACTCGCGATGTCTTGCTGCCGTTCTGCAGAGCACGGGCGCGATGCCGGCGGTGATGATACTGAAGAAGGCGATGGAGATACTGTCGGGCAAGGTCAACGAGCTGCGCGAGAAGCTCAAGGAGATCCAGATGGAGCAGGGCGGCGAGGGGGCCGAGGGCATGCGGGAGGGAATGGACCTCGACCACGACATCATACCTGACGAACTCATGCTGCCTTAGACACACACAGACAGGCAGACAGGCAGACGAGACGAAACGACTGTGTGTGTCGATGATGTCTGGGAGCCTCATGCGAGAGACAAACAAACGTCTTTATCTGTCTGTCTGATTCGTCGGCACACGTGGACACACACAGACAAACTGCCCTTTATCCGATGACTCAGATCCTGCTGCCTGACCATCCGTCGCCACACCTACTTCCTCACTCTGTAGCACTCACTCACGCCCTCTACCAGGGTGCGGGTGAGAAGACAGTCAGTCAGTGCAATGGGTTGAGGACGGCCATGATGCCCATGAGCACCAGCAGCACACACCCTATGGCGATGACGGCGATGGGCATACCCTCGTCCTTCGTCTTGCTCTGCTCCTGCTGCTGGGACTCAGTGGCCTCCCTGGCCTCACTCTCGGTGAACGACGGGCGAACCAGAGACGTGATGCTCAGCTCGGCCGTGGCTAACACACACACACACACAGAGTGCCTGTCGGTCTGGGGCTTGAGGATGGCTGTGTACGTGATGGCATCGGGGCTTCTGATGCGGCAGACGGGCCGTCGAGCTGGAGCATGCGTTGTGGTGGCGGCTGTGGGCTGCCGCCCTTCTCGGACACTGCAAGCCGAAGCATAGGCATACGCATGGCAAACCTATTCTCTGCCTTGGCTGACATGTTGGGAGTGGCTGTTGATACGCAGACTGAGGATGCCCGCCTGCACGGCCGACGCAGACACAAACACAGACACAAACCGGCCAATCACATCCAGGCAGACAGAGACACCCGCGCCTGCCCCACCGTGAGTTCTGCGGCGATGGCGGTGCCGCCTCCACATCAGCCGTCGCCCTCTCGTCCCACCCGCCCTGTGGGCTCCCCTCTCGCCCCTCTCGATTGACCGATGGTGTCTGTGGCTGGCCAGTGTGTGAGACAACAAAGCCATGTGGGCCAAGAACAGGCAAAGCTGCGGAAGAAGCTGCATGGAAGGGCTTGCTTGTGGATGGATGCTCGAGCAATGGCAATTAAGGAAGGAGGTTTGGTCTATATCAATCAACGTACTCTCAAAGAGGTGGACGAATGGAAGGATCACGGATGGGGGCCGGGTGGGGGGTGCATGCGACGTCCAGTCGCCCCGTTCTTGCTGCAGCCTCGCTTCCTCTCCGGCCTTACCACCGTGCCTCTTTGGGCTGAATTCCATCGGTTTCGATCTCTCCTTTACTTGCGAGCTCAGAGGAGAAAAGGAGCGCTTTCTCGCAGCGATGTCGCAGCATTCATCGTCCCCAGCCGCAGAGGGCCCTTCATCTCCGTCTTCATGCCTCTACCAGCATCAGCACTCCCGCCGTCACAAGCCGCGAGGCAACTTCCTCTCCGATGACCAAACGCGCCGCACCAACGCAGCACTCGCACGCCAGGAGCGGGACCGCGCCGACCTGCTCGCCCAGATCCGACGCATAGCGTCAGAGAGCATCACGGATGAGGCACCGGAGCAACACGCATACGCCGATGAGCAAACCGAGTGTGACGATGAGGAGCATGTGGATGTGGTCTATGAGGAGGGGAGGGGCGGCGAGGTCGGCATGGAGGAAGACGACGAACAAGAAAATGGCGATGAGTCTCACGCCGACATGGCTGTCGTCGAGGGAGAGGGAGGAGAGAAGAAGCATCAAGGGCCAAGTCGGCGGGCGAGGATGGCTGCCCGGCTGCAGGTGTTTCGGTTCTTCGCCGGGCAGCTGGTGCATCCCGACTGGCTGGTCTCCCCTCCCCCCGACCTCGCACACAACTGGCTGGTGGCCGCGCGGCCCGAGGGCAACCGGATGCTGGTCATCTCGAAGCACGGCTGGGCGGTGGCCCGCAACAAGAACGGCCGGTTCCAGATGAAGTTCCCCTGCCTGCTGCCGCCGCGTGGCGTGACGATAGTGGACGTGGCCTTTGCTGAGGCGACGCGGACCATGCATCTGCTGGACGTGCTGTGCTGGAACGACTGCCTGCTGATGGACTCCTCCACAGAGTGCAGACACTTCTTCCTCAAGTCGAGGTGGGTGGGGGGTGTGCGGTGCGGTGCGGGCAGGACAGGGCAGGGCGGGGCTCTGTGAGTGATGGACACAACTAACGAACTGGTGTCTGTGTGTGTGTGTGTGTGTGTGTTATAGGTATGAAGAGATGGAGTCTGAGCTTCGTGAGACGTCTGTCCATCACATGTGAGGGACGGGAGGGGAGTGCAGTCACACACCCACACCCACACCCACACCCACACCCACGCCCACGCAGATTCGCCGACACATATCACCGTGTATGTGGATGCGTGTGTGTGTGTGGATGTCAGGTATCCCATGGTGCTGGTGGACCTTCACGAGTGCACGCAGCAGCACCTCCTCAGACTCTACTACGAGTAAGCAACGCAACCAGCACGAATGAGTATGGCCATTTATATGTATGTTTTCCGTGCACTGCGCTGATCGTGTGTTTGTCGGTCAGGGATTTGGACTATCCGAAGGACTCCCTGCTGTTTGTCCACAAAGAGGCCCACTACGACCCTGGTACGCCACGCTACACTCGCACAACGTGCTCTGCATTCATTCCACATGGGGGTGGTGTGCTGCGTGCCTGTTGGTGCTGACAGGTCTGAATCCCCTGTGGCTGCAGTGGCGTGACGCCCACCTGAGCAGGTTTGCCATCGACACCACCGACCCCACGGGCAAGGACCACCCGCACAGAGAGGTCGGCACGCTGCAGCTCACCAAGAGGCACAACAAACTCAAGACCATGGGTGAGATGAGAAGCCGGCCGATATGGTCATCACATCACTGGAGGGCAACACAGGCCGGCAGAGAGACGATTTGTTGGACCCTCAGATGGGCGGATTGTCGGTGCGATTGACGACACCACCCGCAAGCAGCACCGCTTGAAGCCCGGCCAACTCGTCAAGTAAGCAACGGAGAGAGAGGACACACACACACACACACGTACGACCGAATACACCTGTGCTGCCAGGTGCGAGATGGACGGCATCGACATGGACACGATGGAGGTCCAAAACCTGATGCCCCTCGGTGAGCGACACACCACACCAATACACACAAACCGACACAGCCAACCACACACGTGTGTGTGTGTGTGTGTGTGTGGTGTGTGCAGGTCGCGGCCCGAAGACCCGTCTCTACCCCGACTCGTTCAGCCGTCTGGTGGTGCAGGCCTTCATGCGCATGGACAGCCCCCCGATGGACTTCAACAGGATTCTCGACGCAATCGCACAGAGCCATGACCATGAGGATGGTGCTGGTGGTGGTCATGCTGACATGGATGTGTGAGGGCCGTACGGGCGATAGGGTGGGATCCATGGGACCGGGCAGATGCATTGCCTGCATAGAAGTGGGTGGTGTTTATTTGGTATGCGGACGGACCGATGGCTGGTGTGGTGTGTTGGGGATGGATTCATGTGAACGAGTCGACAGAGGCCTTGATGGTGAGACATATGAGCCGCGTTCAAGAGCGTCACAGCCAGCAAGGCGAGCGAGGATGGCAGACCGGGGGCGCTTGGGGCGCGATAGAGGGCTGGGTGTCAGTGAATGTTACCCACTGGCAGCCACATACATATTCTTTGTGTCCTCATCCAGTCGATAAATCAAGCACGTCTCTCTGTCAGCCGACAAGCAGTCGAATGATCTCCCTGGGGGCCTCAGCGAAACCTGCAGTGTCATCCCCTGCCGTAGGACAGAACTGCGCCTGTGCGGCAGCACTAACCGGCGGCAAGACACGACCAGGCAGCTTTCGTGGAAGGCCTTCTGGTGGGGAAATGAATCCATCCGCTGATCCATCCACACGTCACAGCATCTTCCTCTGTTGGTTCCTTGGATGATCATGTAGCGGCGGCCTGTCCGGCCTCCTCCTGAGCCTTCTTGCGCTTCCACGCACGGGCGACCTCGAGGATCCGCATGTTCTGATAGGTGGACGGATGGATGGATGGAAGCAACAGACCAACGTTGGCACACTGTTACGGTGCAGACGGGCTGTGTGTGCGTACCGCGGCTGACGAGTCGTCTTCGGGGAAGATGTAGGAGATGTACTCCTCGTAACCCTGCGCAGTGCTGCACACAGGGGAGGGGAGTGGAAGCGTGTCGGTCTGTGTGCCTTGTTCGTCTCCCCTCCCTCCCTCCCTCCATTGTGTGTCTCACTCACCCGTCGTCAGCGACGATGTTTCTTTTCTTGCGGACCTTCTTGGGCTGCTTCCGGAACACCTCATCCACCATCTTGGCGTCGCCATTCTCACGCTCCAGCGACAGCCAGTGCTACACACACATACACACATACACACACACACACAGTGTTGGCGGAGGTAGACGTACGTACCTCTAGCAGCATGGCCCGCTCCTCGTCGAGCTGGTTGTCTCTGCAGTGCTCGAGGCCCTTCTGGATGACCTGACGGGCCTTCTCCATGGAACCAGCGTGACGATACTCAAACTCAGAGTAGCCACGGTACACCTGCAGACACACATTACACATGAGGGGGCGGGGCAGATGGCCTTGCTGCCTGAAGGAATGGATGGACAGATGGAGGCGTTGCTGGCTGGCTGACCTACCTTGAAGTGCTGCGTCTTCTCGAGGAGCTGCTCGTACAGCCGCCTGGCGCGCTCCAGCTCGCCGAGGGTGGTCTCCATGTCGATGTAGCACTTCCACACCTACACCCACACCCACACACATACATGGTATTGCACTCTGCCTGTCGATCTGTGTGTGTGGAGACATGAGGTACCAGCTCAGGTCTGTCCATGACTTCCTGTCTGATGGCGAGCTCGCACAGCCCCCTGGCACGATCGTGCTCCTCGGCCGCCGTCTCGAGCTCCACAAAGGCCGTCCACGCCTAAACCCACACACACACACACACACACATTTGAGGAAGGAAGTACACTTCTGTCCCCCTCTCTCTGTGTGGAGACTCTGTGCGGCGTGTGCCTGCCTGCCTACCTTCGGATTGTGCGGCTGCATCGAGACGAACTGAGCGTAGATCTTGCGGCAGCGGTCGATGTTGCCCAGCTGGAGCTCCAAAGCGGCGTACCTGACGCAGCGAAGGAAGGAGCCCACAAAGAGCTTTCAACGCACCGTGACATGAACATGCGTATACTGGCGTATGTGCGTGTGCACGGCTCACTCACTTCTCGAATATTTTCTCCTTGCCGCACCGCGCGATGGCCTCGCCGTAGATCTTGCGGGCCCTGTCGATGTTCAGCTGACGCACCTACACACACACATATCAGTGCACCGCAGCTCGTTGTGTCCCCTGGACGAGTGGCAAAGTCTCTCTTGCCCACTTCAAACTCAGCGAAAAGGGTCCACAGCTTGGCGAATGAGAACGACTGGTGCGGCACCAGGTCGAGCGCCTTGCGGTACACCTGACGCGCCTTCTCCATGTCGCCTTATCACACGCACACACACACACACACACACATGCATGGATTGTGTCTATGGTCGTCTTGTCTGTCTGTGTCTCCCTCCCACCGCACCGGTCTGCATCTCCTCGAAGAGGGCGTAGTAGAGCCAGAGGTAGATGTACCTTTTCCAGAACCGCTTCTCGGGGGCAGGGGGCAGGTTGGCGACTGCGCGCTCGTACACCTCTCGGATGCGCTCCACGTCGCCCGCCGACTCCTCCAGCCTGACGTAGTCGAACCAGTTGTCGTAGTTACGGGGGTTCTTCTTGATCGCCTTGTCAACGAAACACACACACACACGTGTGGCTGGCTGTGCCCACAACCATCCCTCTGTGTGTGTTGTGTGGTTACGTCTTCGTAGACGAATCTCCGTTTCTCGAGTATGGTCTCCTCTATGGCGTTCTTGGCGCCGTGCTGCTTCTGGAAGGCCACGTACGAGCGGTACAGCTCCTCTGACTCGCCCTTGGGCAGAATGTTCAGCGCCTGCTTGTAGATCATCGTCGCACTGCAACCACACACACACAGACAGAGAGGGGCGGCGTGTGGCGGGGCGTGTGGCAAGGTGCGGCGCGCTGGCGTGGCTGCATTTTCTCTTCGGTACCGTTCGTTCTCCCGGCGTCTGTGTTCGAACTGGGCGAACTTGATGTAGAACTGCTCGCCGAGCGCATCGTCGCCCAGGATCTCAATCTACACCACAAACAACACAACACCGGCCGCACACACACATGTGCCTTGCACCTCTCTGTGATGTGCAGGTGTGTGAGATAGATGTGGTGTGGTGTGGTGTGGTGTGGGGCCGCTTACGGCCTTCTCGAACCCCGCCCGAGCCCTGTCGTAGTTGCGGTGTTTCTCCTCGAACTTGCACAGCTTCAGAAACGACGCCTCGCTAGGGCGGTTCGACAAGAAACTACACACACACACACACACACGGAGAGAGGGAGGGGATGCCTTATTGTGCGGCTGGTGTGGTGGCTCTGCTCACTTTTCGAAGATGCGTCTGCATCTTTCGATCTCGCCGCACCGCTCCTCGAACTTGATGTAGAGCATCCAACCTACACACAACACACACACATACACAGAGGGGTCGATCACATCCCTCCGTCGTGGCTGGCACCTCTCTCTGTGAGAGTCGGGGTGTCATGACTGACTGACTGGCTGACCTTTACCTTTTTCATCAGGGTTCCACTCCATCCAGCGGTCGTAGATGGTGCGTGCGCCGGCATAGTTGCCCAGCAGCTCCTCCATGTGAGCGTACTTGAACCTAACACCCACACACATATGCCCGACCGTCATCTCGCACCTCGTGTGTGTGCGTGTGTGCGCCTGTGTGTGTGCCCACCCACTTACCAGAACTGGTCTTCCCTGGGCAGCAGGTTCGTCACGCGATCGTAGAGGTTGCGGGCCTGAGCGAAACCCACAAAGACGCACGCACAGACCAGTATGTGTCTCTGTCTGTCTGTCTGTCTGTCTGTCTGTCTAACCGAGTTGATGAATTTGTTCTTGGTTTCCATCTCGATGTACTTGACCCACAGGCCCACATTCGTATACTCGACGTTCAGCGCACGCTCGAACACCGAACGGGCACTGCACACCACACACACACACACACACACACACACACAGAGAGAGAGAGAGAGAGAGATCAGTGCCTTGTGTGGCACGTGCCGCTCTCACGCAAGCACCCCGCCTCCCCACCGATGTGTGAATCCGTACCGCCTGAACTCCTTCTGTGCGGCCTCCCACGTGGCGTATTTGATCCACGAGCCGATGTGGTGCCGCTGACGACGCAGCGTGTCCTCAAACTCCTTGCGCTTCCGAATCCTGAGACCACACACCACCACACCACACCAAACCGCACCGCACCATACAAACAAGTGGCGCCTCACGCGACATGAGTCAGTCGTGTGTGCGTTGCGTGTCCTGACGCACCTGTATTCCGCCAGCTCGTCATCGTCGACGATTCGTTGTCTGGGTCTGCGCGCCTCCTCGCCCTGCCTGTCGACGGCCTCGCGCAGGAGCTGCTCGGCGGTGATCTGGATGGGAGCCGGAGTCTTGTTCTTGACCTGAATCAACCACACACAAGACGGACACAACGAGCACGATGGAGTGAGTCGGTTGGTGTCTTGCTCGTGGCTGGTTTGGTCTGCTTGGTTACTCAGACTCACCGCTGCCTGCTTGCCCATGGAGGTCCTGGGACCTGTCGGTGGGCCAAACAAACACAGCACACACACACATTCAGCATCAATGATCAGATCTGGTGCAGTATGACATGGTCCTCCATCTGCCTCTCCCTGCCTCTCTGTCTGTGTGCGTGTGTGTATGAGTGTACCTCTGCGTCCCCTTCCCTCGTCCTCATCCATCGTGCCGCTGCTCAACCAATATCTATCAGCGGTCTGTCGGGATCTGACACGCACGAAGGGATGCCCACGATGTCAAAGGATTTAGGGCGCTTTTGCGTTTGACAGTCACTTTCGTCGATTCGCCCGTAAGAGGCCTTTCAGCCAGTGTGTGAGCATGTCTGACGACGATTCTCCCCGCCAGTCCAAGTCCAAGAGCAAACCTCGCGAACAGACTGACAAATCAGGACGAAAGGTGCGACAGACACGACAGACAGAGACCGGCCTGACTGCCTGCGTGTGCGTGTGTGTATCTGTGCGTCTGTGTGTGTGTGTGTGACAGGTATGGGACAAGGAGTATTATGCGAAGCGTGCCAAGGAGCGTGCCGAGGATGAGGAGATTCTCGCCCTGGTGCCCGAGAGCAAAAAGAAGAAGGTCGCGCCGCCGCCGCAGGAGAGGCAGCCGCTCAAGGAACGACACGACTTCATCGATCTTGAGGAACGGTCAGTCAGGATCCACACACAACACACACAGCACAGCATCTGTTGGTTCCCCCCCTCTCCCTATCTGTCAGTGTGGGCAAGACGCAGGTGGTCACGCAGTTCACGCCCAAGCAGCAGCAGGGCGGCTACTGGTGCTCAGTGTGTGAGTGCCTCATCAAGGACAGCCAAGGTCAGTCAACCGCTCACCCACCCACTCGCCCACCCGCACGCTCACACACACACACACAGACACACACACACAGACGGGCCCCTCTCACCTCCCCTGTGTGTGTGTGTGTGTCCCTCTTCTCTGTGTGTGTGAATCGGTTGTCCAGCATACCTCGACCACGTCAACGGCAAGCGCCACAACCGCATGCTGGGCATGACCATGAGAGTCGAACGTGTAGACGTCAACAGGGTACCCGACCACTCCACCACTCCACCACCCCACAAGACAGGCAGAGACGAGACGAGACCTCACACACACACACGCATTCATGTGTCTCCCTTGTCTGGTCTGTCTGCAGGTGAAGGATCGTCTGGCGTCGCTCAAGAGGTCCGGCGAGGCGGACACCTCGGCGGCTCCCGTGCAGGTGGACGACATCCAGCAGCGGCTCAGGCAGCTGCAGGAGCAGGAGGAGGAGAAGAAGCGACGCAAGAGGGAGAGGAGAAGCAAGAAGCACAAGACCGAGGCCGCTGATGACATCGGCGACGGCGTCAAGGAGGAGCCAAGAGCCATCAAGGACGAGCCTCAGGAGGCTGCTGCGGGGGTAGAGAGGGAGGGGCAGGGGGGGGTGCGGGTCAAGACAGAGCCGGAGGAAGACGAAAAGGGCGGGAGTGCTGCTGGTGCTGCTGCTGACGGTGGTGGTGGTGGTGGTGACGCAGAGGAAGATCTGATGAAGCTGATGGGGCTGCCTGTAGGGTTTACGGCCGGCGTGTGACTTACGGCCTGGCTGCATGTGTGTGTGAGACCAACATGACGTTCAGCATCATGTCGATTCATGCCCTCTTTGCTTTTCTTGTCAATAGCATGTTTCCGGCCGATGCCGATCGTTCGCACGAACACTCACTCACTCACTGATTCATTCCCGTGATTGATGTGTCCGCTCTCCTCAGTCAGTCAGTCCATTTGCCCATCACGATGGATGCCCACGATCGCTCGCACCATCACACTCCCCCCCCAGCCCCTCTCTCTCGGCACATTCATCCATCCATCCATTCATCCATCTGGGTGATTCTTGGCACTTGTCTGTTGGCCTGGTCGTCGTGTCGTTCATTTCGTCACGAGTGACGTCAGCTCGATGCACAGACCCACAAACAGCGCCAGGGCGCCCAGACTCGCTACCGTAGACACTGCCACACACACACACACACACGCACCCAAACACAGCACAGAGAGAGAGACAGACAGAGAGAGAGCTACATGCCATGCACACAAATGAACAAGTGTGTGTGTGTGCACAGACCCACCGAGTTTGCGGACATCGAATCGCCACTTGGCTGCGGCGTGCGATGCGTCAGCAGCATGGTTGCAGTGTGAGCCCTGGGGGCAGCACGGGTCGGTGCGGGCTCGCTTCAAAGCGAAGTCCCCCGACCCCCCCGCCTGCTCGATGCTCGGCGCCCGTGTCGAATACGTGCTGTCGCCGCCACCTGCACAGCCACACAAGACACACACACACGTCTTCATATAGACCTTTCCTCTCTCTCTTCTCTCTCTGCAGACCGTGTCGGTAGAGAGGCCCCTTGCCGCCCCCGCCCGCACCCAGTGCCGCCCCCCTCTGCATGACGACACCGCCAGTGCCATGGCCATGGCCATTGCCACTGCCAGTGGCCACGGCATACGAGCCGATGCCTCCGCTGACGGTGCTGGGGCTGCTGTAGGACGTCAGGGTGTTAGTGGTGGACTCGCCGATGGACCTGGCGCGGCGGTCGGGGAGGTGGTTGAGGTGGGCCAACGACCCACAGGGACGGTCCACACACAGGGGGCGGCTGGAACTGGTAGTGCCGCTGGCCATGCTGCCCGGACCTGGTGCGCTCTGATGGGCCAGAAGGAGACAGAGAGAGGGAAAGAGAGGGAGACATTTGTTTACGTGTGTGTCTGTCTGTCTGTCTCTTTTGTGCACATGCCCAAAGGCACAGGATCACCTACCTGTTGCTGCGTGATGAGTTTGTTGAGGGCCATCCGCAGCGATTCTTCCGCCTCGTGCTTGGACGCCGCGGCCGCCCCACTACCAACCACACCCACGCCCACGCCCCCTCCCCCTCCCAAGCCCCCCACACCCACACCAGCACCAGCTCCCACACCAAAAGCCCCCGGGCTGCTATTGCCAGTCAGCAGCGGCATCGAGGTGCTGTTCCTGGCCGTGGGTGCCTGGTCGCCGCGCCCGCTGGTCTCTGGGAAGGCGTCTTCCTCCTCGTCTGGCTCTTCAGTGTGTGTGGGTGTGGCCGAGTTGCGCACCTCCATGTGCAGACGGCGCAGGGCACCCAGACGGCCTGTCGGGCTCGCATCGGAGGACGGGCTGAATTGATCAAACAAAGGACAAACATGGAGCGTCTCTGTCTCTGTCTGTCTGTGGGAGCGGCTGTGGGGTTGCCTGCCTGGTGATGTTGGTGTCGAGTGTGGGTGTGTTGTTCGGGGCGGTGTTGGCTTTGACATCTCGAAGGGAAGCCATCGAGGCCTCGCTCAACCGAGGCAAACTGAGCAATGAATATTGCCATCCATCCATCCATCCATCCAACCAAACACAGCCAGGTTTCTCTCCTCTGCCTGCTGTGCTTGTTGGTCGTTGGTGTGGTGTGTCCTGACCGTTTTTCGGCGACTGAGAGTGCGACGGCAGCGAAGTCTTTGGGCCTGATGCGGCCCTGGCTGCCACTCGCACCACACAAACCCTCAACCGTCGATTGGACTGACACAATGAAGCGCACACACAGAAGAAGGGATCCGGTTCGTGTCAGAAGGAGCAACCTTGCCGTTGGCTGGCTGACCTTCGATGAAGAAGCCGCGGATCTGCGTGTCGACAGGGTGCCTGCAACAGACACACACACGAAGCGGAGATATTCAGTGTGTGTGCGAGTGAGGCGTGCTGCCCACTCACAGCAGCGTCTGTGCGCCGAGGAGGATCTCGGCACCCTGGTAGGGCTTCAATGTCACCACCTGCAGCACATCCTCCACATGGACCCATTGATGTCTGTCTCCCTTGTGTGTGCTGCGTGCACTGACCGGATAGGAGCCCTGGACTTTGTGTGTGGCGAGCAGCCTGCGGACGCGGCTGCGGAGGGTGGCCGTGCTGCACACGTGCAGCTGGGCGAAACGGCCTGAAGGACACGCATGACCGGAGTGGTCCGGTCATTTCTCCACCATTTGCTGTCCACCGCGCACCGGTGTGCTGTTTGATGAGTTTCTTGAGGTTGGCCACACACGCCGTGTCGTTCTCGGGCGTGTACTGCAGGTTCTTGGGACACTCCACGTACACACAAAACACACCTGCATCCATATCCAGCCAGCCATCCAGCAGAAGGGTCAGTCAGTTAGCCATTCAGTCAGCCCACCATGTCTGTCTCTCTGTCTGTCTCTCACCTTCTTCGGTACGGTCGTTGGAGTTCATTATTCTGTTGCGGACGACACAGTGAGCACGAGGGCGGACAGACCAGATCAGCGATGAACGACGGACGGAACCAGCTGGCGACCCCAACAAGGGTATAAGAGATGCTCAGAGAGGTCAAAGGGGATGGGGGCCGCGACGGGGCTTCAGACGATAAGAGAGACGGACGGCCGGGGGAGGGGCGGGATCTCCAAGGCAGCTCTGCTTCAGTGCTTCCTTCCCCCAGGCCCTTTGCAATGCTCACGCAAATGAGTGGATCCGATGCGAGGCGCCGTCAGCAATTGGCCGTCAGCCGGTGGTGCAAAAACAGAGGGCGCCTGTCACCTCGGCGCGTCCCCCTGCAATGGCGGAAGGGCTGACGACAGGCTAGCTGACGGGATGAACGATGAGGGCCGCTGCTCCGCTGACAAAGGAGAAAGCCAGAAGGGCCTCGGAAGAAGATGCTCAAGAAACAAAGCGGCCGATGCAACACGACGCAAGGGATGGAAATACGATAGGCAAAGCCCTCAGTAGCCTATCCAAAGCCCTCTTTGCTCGAGAAAGACATGCGAGCTTTCGCGCGCCGAGCTTGCAGATTTTTTGAGTGTTGCTGAGTGGTGTGCGGATTGTGTGACGGCTGTCGATGCGAGAGGCGTGCGGCCCCCCTAGTTCGCTTGAATCAGAGAGGTCGGCCACCGACCTCGGCAAGACAGAGCCATGCGGGGCCTCTTTCGATTGTCAAGGACGCTCTTCGACCACTACCGGGTGCTCGGTGAGCAGACGGAGCCATCTTGATGCACACAACGGACGGCGAGAGAAGCAGCCAGCCATGCGAGTTGTCTGACTTGTGTGTGCTGTGCCGTGGTGTGGCCTGGCTGGTGTGGTGTGTGTGTGTGTGTGATGTGGTGCAGGCGTTGCTCGCGACGCGAACAAGGCCAAGATCCGGTCAGCGTATCTCGAGAAGGCCAAGATATACCATCCCGACGTCAACAAAAGCAGAGAGGCCGAAGCCATCTTCAAACAGGTAGACCTTTGTGTCTGTCTGTGTGTCTGTGTGTATCCATCGGTGCCTTGTGCTGAATGCTCTGTGTTTTGTGTGTGTGTGTGTGTGTGTGTGTGTGTCAGGTGCAAGAGGCCTACAGTGTGCTGAGCGATGACACGATGAGGAAAGACTACGACGTTTCTTCCGGTCAGCAATTCCTCCAAGACCGACAGACGAACTCGACTCTTCATGGTGTGTGTGTGTCCTGCAGGTTTGCGGACAGAGGACGGGTTTCGTGGCACCGGTCCGGGGCCGACGTCGAGCGCTTTTGCCGAGGCATATCAGAGGCAGTATGAGCGGATGAGGCGGGAGAGGCAGGCAGAGAATGAAAACTTCTGGGTACGCCGCCCACACACACACCCTCTCACCACACACAGCAGGATTAGTGGATGGTGTGTATGTGTATGTGTGTCAGAATCGTCAGCGTCAGCGAATGGAGGAGAAGTACGGCGGCTCGTACCGGCGGCCGTACGACCCCTACTGGATGTTCAACCCTGACCTCGCCAGCAGGGTCGTCCGCATGATACCGCTCATACTCATTCCGCTGCTCGTCCTATCCTGGTTCGCAAGAAGTGGGTAAGTATGTAGGCCCCGGTCGACGGATGACGGACGGATGCACCACCACACACACATACAGAGAGCCTCTGAGAGGGGGCAGGAGAATGACTGGATGTGTGTGTGTTGCCTATGCTTGTGTGTGGATTGGTCAGTAATCGTCATCGCTTGTCGGATTTGAGGATGGAGTATGACCAATTAGGTGGGCGCCAAACTGACACACACGCACACAGGCGGACAGGTCAGGTGCCTCACAGATGTGTGTGCGTATCGCTGATATATATGATTAGGTCGCGCTTGGTTGGTCGACAGCTTCGGGAGGGCTCACAGGGCGCCCAACTACGACATCAGAAAGTAAACGCGCGACAACATACTTACACACAGACCTGCAAAGGCACACACACAGCTTTCTGTGTGTGTGTGTGTGTGTCCAGGGCGTAGCAAGCAGCGTGTGGCCGGCCACGGCTGTGCTGTTGTTTCCTTCATTGTGCGGCCATCGATCCCTCCATCCATCCATCCATGTGCTGCGCTGCGCTGCACGCCCCCCTGTAGATAGATCAGATCAGACCAGACGGATGCCTTGATGCGTTTGGGAGTGCAGACAGACAGACAGACAGACAGGCAGAGATGTGTTCATGTGTGTGCACAGTCGATTGAGCAGACAGACAGACAGAGGGAGCACCTGCATCATGTGTATGTGCTGCTGCTGAGAGAGAGAGAGCGAGGTGGTGCTCATCGACAATGGCTATCGGTGTTGGTGTGTCTGTCTGACGGGTGATTTTGAACGACCTCCTCCCCCTCACGGCTGTGTCGGTCTGTGGTCTCAGTGTCTGTCTGACTATTCTCTCTCTCTGTGGTGGTTTACAAGGCCTTCCTATATGCGCCATATGCATGCCCTGTCGAGCAATTTTGCGAAGGGCTGCACTGCATGCCATCCATGGTGGTGGATGAGTGGTGGCGGCGTCTGCCGGTGGACGGATGGCTGTGTGTGCGCGTGTTGGTGTGTGTTGCTGTGTGTGTATCATAGACACATCCAGCACGCGATTAACGGTTTCGCTGGTGGCGCCGAGTTTCGTCTGTGAACCCTGCTGAACCCTACACTTGACCTAACCCTACTAGCCATTCCATTTTCCCGCGTGATGGTTTTGACGGACATCTAAGCGTGGCCGAGTCGGCACACCCGGCAGCTACTGCTCAATATTCGCTATGCCGCGCGAGACCCATGGCGGGTGTCTGAACAGGCACAACTGGTATGTCCGCCGGGCCGTCATCATCCTCAAGTCCCCCGTCGTGGCCTTCTTCGTCTCCTACCGCTTCTGGATCATCGCGCTTGTCGTGCTGCGGCTCTTCTACGAGTGGCTCAAGAGGCGGGAGGAGGCGCGACAGTGGCGGGACCGCTCTATGATGAACACTCTCCAGGCCGCCATATACAGCACAGAGAACCTGCAGGACCTCCGCCGAGTCGAGAAGAGGTACCTACAGACCCACACCACAAACCACACCGACACAGACGACAGACGCATGCGCCTGTGTTTGGCCATGCATGGCATCAGGACTCTGTTCGAGCGGGATCTGCGTGAGGTTTTTCGTAACGAGATAGAGGTGCAGGCCATCCTCACCGCCGCACGGCAGGCCGCACGCTCGACGGCCGACGACACCGACGGACAGTTCAGCGCCAGCCACGACTGGGACCTTGGCGCCTTCCTGCTCATGGGCAGCGGCGCCGCCAGTCTACAAGACCCCTGGGACGACATATGGCGCCTGCTGCCGGGGGGCGGGCAGCATGCAGCCAGGGGTGAGGGGCCGGTGGACGACCCTTGTGTGATGACTTACATCGCCCCTGCTGACCGGTGGCACATCCTGAACCAGCTCCTGAACCAGCTGTCCAGCATCTTCGCGCCGCACCACGTTTACTTCAACGAGCGGGGCAGGAACACGCGAGTCCACTACAAAAGCGCGTGAGCCTTGGCGCATCAATGGCATGAGTGGCAACCAGACGACCAGTGTGTGTGTGTGTGTGTGTGTGGCAGTTGGTACGTGTTTTCGCTCTACTGCACGCGAACCAGTGGGCGAGGCCGGTAGGCGCACACGCGGCTCGGCTGCATCCACACAGGCAGGACACACGAACAAGACCTTATTTATTGTGGCCCCGTCCCCCCCACCCCACAGGTACTTCATCACGCCCTTCATGCCACTGCCCGAGAAGCATGACGTCAGCAACCTCAAGATCAGGTGACCAACTGACCGAATGCACCGCACCCACCGGCCTGCAGACCAGACTGTGTCATGGATGTGTGTGTGCGTTGTGTTGTTGACTTCAGGATAGTGTTGGCGTCCGAGCAGACACTCCGGGAGATCGGTATGGGATTGATAGCGCGGCCTGAGAAATTCTTCAGCGACCGGCACGAGGGCAGGTGGCGCATTCTCGTCAGACTCTCTCAGCTATACATGGTCAGTCAGTCAGCAGTCGGCTGGGCGAGGCGATGGGGACACACACAGAGACACACTTGTGCACTTTGCTGACGGCATGCGTCTGTTGTGTCCCCCCCCATCGATCAGCGTCAGTTCCAGCGGAACCCCCAGGAGATGACCTTCTCCAGCCCCCACACCCACTTCCACCACCCCTCATCCCGCCTACACGCACCACCAGCTCCGGCACCCATACCCAAACACCCACACGCCACCAGCAGCCACGCTGCGTCGACCGAGCCGTCCGAGAGCAGCCCCGCGCTCGAGAGCGACAAGACAGTGAGCCCCTCCCCGGCCCCCATCTCCTTCGCGTCTCTTCCCCCACGCGCCACCAGCTCCGGCACCCCACGTGTGCCCAACGCCATGCACTCGGGGTCGATCTCGCTTGTGCGGCCGTCAAGGTCCACCCCGTCGCTTAAGGACTTGGTTGCCGGTACGGGCACGCCTGCATCGAGGGGGCCGGGCCCCGAGAGGGTGCCGCTTCCCCCTCCCCAATATAGGAGGCCTGCTGCTGGTGGAAGGGGTGGTGGCGCTGGCACGCTGCGGCTGCATTTGCCGCGGTGGATGATGCGGCGGTTCAGCTACCCGTCGTCGCGTGACATGAGGGTTGGGGGCGGGCTGAGGTGGCCGTCGCCGGAGCGGTATGAGCAGCTGAGCATCGAGGACAACTGCTGCAGCAGGCTGCATGTGCCCGTACCCACCCTCAAGAGCACGGTAGGGACGTCAGTGACCTGACCCAGCGAGTGGATGGATCACTGCATGCGCCAAGGAAGAGATGCACTGCACCCCACGCTGTTCGTTTGTATGAGTGTGTTGTCTGTTCAGGTGGATGAGGAAGAGCTGGCGGAGATCAAGGCTTCAGATGAGTATGTGGTTTATCGGTGTGGGGACTAGCCGAGGGCCGCTGGCTGGCTGGCTGTATGGCCGGCTGAGGGGTGCATAGGGCCGAACGGGGGCAGGTGGACGGAGGGGGAGGGAGCGAGGGTGGGGGAGGTTTTGCATGCGGACGTGGACGTATCGGCGCTTTTTCGTCTGTGCAGACCTTGCTTGCTGTCTTGGCAATTTAAGGAAAGGGCCATTTGGACACACACACGCAAACCAATCAACCAGTCCATCTTCGTTTACACGACATCCGTGTTGATACATCACATCCATCCAGCCGTCCAACCATGTTTCCGCGTTAATTGGGCGTGCGATGGTCAATTGAGCTGGTCATGGCGTGGCATGTACCAGATCTCTCTCAAGCCGTCTCTGCCGTACTGGCACTTCCATGCAGAGGCGGCGAGAGACACACACGTACACACGCACTGTTCGGCAGCGCTCAGCTACAGATAGACGTCAGGGGGGGGTGCTGTGGTATAGAACTTAGACGAAGCGCAGCGCAAAGCGGTGGTGGTGACAACGCCCTGGCTGACATGTGGGCCCGCCCGCCTTGCTGTCTGTCTCCCTTCCTTGTTGGCTTGGTGCAGTGCCCGCCTGCCTATGGTGTATAAGTACCCATGTGTTCGCGATGGATGGAGTCTCTCTGCCCTTTCTGCCTGCCCTCCCGCCCGCTCACCTGTCCCCACAAGTACCTACCTAGTGCTCTGGCTGGCCTGGCAAGTGACTGACATCCACAGGGGAGGAAGGCCCACATCGAATCGACCTGTCTGTCTGTCTGTCTGTCTCGGCGGGCCGAGGGAGAGGGCACAATATATGGGAAAAAGACACGGACGGACGGACGGCACGAGAGACAGACAGTATTTAGTTTTCTCGCTCGTCGATGGGTCACGACACCGCACAAACTGATCAAGGGAGGGCGCCTAGTAGTAGTAGTGTCGCTGCAGCAGAGCCCCGGCCCTCCCTCCATCCGTTCAGGCAATGCACCCCCACGTGAGCAGCATAGCTATCTGGTCTGTCTGTCTGTCTGTCTGGCTCCCTCCTCCACCAACAACACTCCACCCAGGTGTGTGTGCACGCCACGCCCACAAAGGGTGCAGGCAGGCACTCAGGCAGGCAGCTCTCACGCAGCGCATGCACTGCACGGTCGCCGCCACCAGCCCGTGAGATGAGATGAGACAGATAGAGAGGCCTCTCGGCCATCCATGCTGCTGTCTGTCCCTCACACGCCACTCACACCCAGGGCGTCCAGCCCTCATACATCTGGCTCAGCCGATCCACTCCCATCGCCTCCTGCAGCAGCTCATGGGCTGCGCGGGCCGCGGGAGCCTGTGACCGACCTCCAGCACCACCGCCACCGCCCCCTCCACTCACAGGGGCTGCGCGGCGTTCCATCGAGGACGACGAGGCCGCCGGGATGTCGTCAGCGACGGCTCCAGACTGCTGCTGCTGCTGCTGCTGCCTCGGTCGTCTTCGGCGGATGAGTGCGGTGAGCTTGCGCTGGACCGACTTGACGGCCATGGTGGCCTGCCACTTGTACACTGACGGCCGGTCGACACGAGGCCGGGGTGCCTCGGCTGCTGGGCGGGCGTGGGTGCGTGAAGGGCTGAGAGCGGATTGGGCAGGAGCAGCCTGGCGCTCTTCTTGCAACACTGCGGACGTACACACGCATACAGACAGACACAGACACAGAGAGATCAACAATGGCCACTTCAATTAAGTTCCTTGGTGTGTGCCGATTGTCTGTCTTACAAAGGTCGCTTTCGATGTCGTCAAGCTCTCCCTCCAGCTCCCACTCATCGATGGCCTCCCCCTCGCCCGCCCCGTCCCCTGTCTCGTGCACGGCTCGCTTGCGCTGCTGGTCGAGTTGTTCCCGTGGCTTGGAAATGGCGTCGGTGTCTGCGTCAGCTTTGGCCTCTGTGCGGAGGATCTGCAGGTTGATGGCGTCCTCGTCGATGTCCTGGGCCAGCTGCTCCATGTGAGCCGCACCACCAGCACCGCCCTGACAGACACCACACACGACACGACAGACACCACACACATCGGCCATGGTGGACGGGCAGAATGCTCTGATGGATGTGCGCCTGTCTGTCTATTTCCAACTTCACTCACCTCTTGTGCGTCCTCCTCTTCCCCTTCGGCGTCTTCCTCCTCTGTTTCCTCCTCGAGCACATCCATGATCTCATCCGACGCCTCACCAGCAGTGTCCTTCTCCTTCGCCACACCGCCGCGCGCAGACGAAGCCGACCCGACGTCCTGCCCATCTGCCATGATGCCTTCGCGAGGGCTGCCGTCTGCTGCTGCGGCCTTGGCCCCTTCCTGTGGGAACGGTGGCAGCGACGGGGGCGCGGCGTCGGGGGCAATGGGTGTGAGGTCGGTGAAGTCGCGCGATGTTGGTGGCTGGTGTGTGGTGGATGAGAGCTGCTCGCCGAGGTCGGCAGCTTTGCGGTCTGAGAGGAGGGCCAGGGTGTAATCGTTGAGGGCCTTCAGGTCGTCCTTCACCACAGACATTGGGGCCGACAGGGACGCCGGAAGAATGGTCGACTGCATCGACACCACACATGATGTGCATTGTTCCCGCGTCTGAGTGACTTCCTCCCTCACCCACTCACTCACACACCTGTTCGATGCGTTCGTCGAGCAGCGGGTCCTTTGTGGCCTGGCCGGCCCTGCGGTCCTTCTTGTCGATGGTGGGCACCAGCAGCAGCTGCTTGACGTCAAGGGCCTTCTTCTTGCCCTCCAGCAAGTGGTTCTGCAGGCTGTGCAGCGTCGTCACAATCCGCTCGCACCGCTCCCCCGACTTGGCCAGCAGAATGGGACACATGCTGGGCAGCAGCGTCTTCAGCCGCCCCTCGACGGCACCCTTGTCTCTGCCCAACAGGTGGGAGTACATCTTGTAGAGCTTCAGCAGGGTGGCCAGCAGCCGTGGGTGGGTCTGCCAAAGGTCCATGGCGTGACGGTTGACGGCCTCCCGTGCCTCTCGCAGCTTCTTGACACGCACCGTGCCCTCCTTGTGCAGCACCATCTGCTCCTGCACAACGTCTTCCGTCGGCAGGGGGCGGGGCGACGGCAGCCGAGCCAGGGCCGCCTGCAGCTCACCCCTCCTCCCTTGATACTCCTCGTTCTCTCGCCCGGTGGCCTCTCTCATCGCCCTCGCGTCCACATACGCCCGCAGTGGCGGCAAGGCCGATGGCGCGATGGCCGCACCGCCCTGGAGAGTGAGCCCAACGGCCAGCCCAAAGGACAGCAGCTGCCTGCCCCAGCTGAGCAGGTTGGTCTCGAGCTCGTCCTCGGCGTGTGTCATGGCCCCCATGCACTCGGACAGCTCCCCCATGACCGGCTGGACCTCACGCACATGCGACGCCAGGTCGATCCACCCCTCCCTGCCACCTGCCAGCAGCGGGGGCCTCGGTGGCGACGGCAGGGTAGAGAGCGTCACCGAGACAACGCTCGCTGAAGTCATGCCTGGGGGCGGGGCGGCCGGGATGCTGTTCTGGCCGTTCTCGATCTCCTTTGCCACCATGGCTGCGTTGAGCAGAGGGAAGTGCACCCAACGGGCTGCGAAGGCCAGCTCCAGCATCTTGCCACGGTAGACGGGGAGGGACGCTTCGAACGCCCCCCAAAGGTACGCCTGCCGCTGCACCTCATAGCTTCTGAGCCGCTGGCGCGACGGCTCGTTCAGTGCCGCCATGAAGTTCTCCACAAACGCCGTGGGGCCCGACCCCCCCATGGCCGGCTGGTGCTGGTGAATGAGCGTCTCGACTGCCTCCTCAAGACCGCGTAGGCTGCAGCGTGTCAGCACAAAGCCCTCTGTGCTGTCCCCGCCGCCCTTGAGCGCCTGTGTGACCGAGTGGGCGCTGCCGTAGACGGCCAGAAGCAGCCGATCCAACACCGAGGCCAGTGTGTAGGTCACTGTCTGCGCCATGAGGGGCGCGAGGCCGACGGTGGCCACCACGTCGAGGAAGTCTTGTGATGCCACTCCGGCCTGCAGCTTGTCGGTCCTCTTGCCGTACATCTTGGCCATCAGCCGCCCCAGCGCCATGGCCACCCACTCCCGCACATCCAGCCGCAGCGCCCTGGCGTAGTGTGCACGCAGAGCCGGGTCCATCCTCTCTCCATTGGCTCTATCGGCCGACCCTCCCGCCCCTGACGAGCCTGCTGCTCTCTTCGGCATGGGTGAGCGCTGTGGGCTGGCCGATGTCGACTGAAGGTCGGGGAAGTCGGCCAGCGATGGCGCTGACTGCCGCGCAGAGCGTGCCGGGCCCCAAGCCACGGCGGGCTGCTCCTCGCCATCGTCGCTTTTCTGCGGTGTAGTGGTGCCGTCATGGACTCCCGCATTGGCGATCTCGGCCTTTTTGTCCTCCTCAATGAGCTTCTGCCTCCGCTCGTCCGACAGAGGGGCTGCGGCGAACGCCAGGGGGAAGTCGTTCTCGAGCGCCTTCTGCACCAGACAGAGGGTGACGGCCGACGAGCAGAAGCTAGTGGCGGGTGCGTTTGTCGACGCGAGGGATGAGGAGAAGGATATGGCGCTCTTGATGTTTGGCGTGGCGCCCCGCGCCCAGTTGGACGACTGGCTCGACGCAGTAGTAGGGGGCGAGGCCGACGACGGTGAGGATGGGCCGAGGTCCACATCGTGCTTCCGCTGCGCCGCCGTTATGTCGTCACGCAGTCGGGTCTGACGCAAAAGAGAGAGAGAGAGAGAGATTGGGGAGTGGGGGAACGGTGCGTGAGGGAGAGGGACCTACCAGCTCGTTGCTGATGGTGTGTATGGCTGATTGGAGTTCCTTGATGTGGCCGTCGAGCGGGGCGAAGTCGGTGGGGGGCGCTACACTGTCACGGCTGGACTCTGACGGGGAGGTGGCCGCGTCGGTGTTGATCGACAGCAGGTGATCCAGATGCCCGGACAGCCCACGCAGACCCTGGAGAAGACACACGATGTCCAGCACGAGAAGAAGAACAGTTTCGTTCTCCAGTCAGTGTCTGTCATTTCTTCCGCTTGTGTGCGTGCGTACCTTCTTGACACGCTCGGTGCCCTCGGCCATCCCAGTGAAGGACACCTCCTCTCGGCTGAGTGCCGCACTGCACCATACAAACGTTATATATGTTATAAGACAGAAAAGACCCATCCATGCATCCATTTGTGAGTCAGACCGCCTCGCCCCTCCCTCCCTCCAACCCACACCACTCACCTGAGTCTCTTCCACTCATTGGCGGCCCTGTCGCCCTCGGCCGTCACCTCCCCCAGCCGCTGCAGCCACGGCGGGACAACACCTGCCTGCGGCCCGCCATCACCCAGCGCCGTCGCTGCACCGACGTTGCGCACAGGGTGGTTGGTCAAGGCCCAGTCATCCACATCAAACAGTACCCCGAAACGGACCTCCGCATCGGCCTTCTCCAGGTCTGCCGGGCTCTCCAGCAGCGGGCCGGTCGGCGGCGGGTCGGGGGGTGTTCGGTGAGTGTCGGTGTGTGTCTCGTGAAGGTCGCTGGGGTGCAGCACTTGCAGGCGCGATGGTGCAAGGGAGAGTGCGGACGCCTCAAAGGCGTAGAGCGCCTTGACTATCGTCTGCCACCCCTTGAGCAGCTCCACCAGGTCAGCGGGCACCCCGCCGCTCGAGCAGTTCTTGAGCACCTCCAGCACATCGTCCATTATAGCCACCAACTCCACCAGCGTATTCAGGCCGCCCTCGCCTTCAATCATGGTCTTGGTGGCCTTGAGGAGGTGGACGCACCACTTCCAGCAGCCGCCGATGACGGGCAGCTGCTTCTTGCGGGCCGTGGCCGACTGAGAGCCGCCGATGCCGCCCATTCCCACGCCGACGGCCTTTGGTTTGAGGGATGCCAGGGAGTCGCTGGCGTCACGACGCATGCATGAAGCGCGACGCTCCAGACGCACTCGGAGGCCGGACAGCGCACCGTCTGCAAGCGTGGGCAGGGGGAGGTGAGGTGTGTTGGTCGGATGCGCGTGCGCGTGGCAACCTACCTACCTTTGGCGAAGAGCTGCATGGCTCTGTCGAGCTGGTCGGCCACGGCGACGAAGTTGTTCTCCTGCTGCTGGGCCGCATGGCGCATCGTCTGAAGCTCTTCATCCAAACGCTGACAGAGAGAGGGAGGGAGAGAACACGCCCATCCGATCGCACCCACCCGTCTCGCCTCTGCGTCAGCCTGTGTGTGTGTGTGTACCTGGACTGCCGTGTTGAGTACGGCTGTGTCGGTCGTGAGCTGGAACGGCTCGTCAGGTGAGTGTGTGGGCGCCTTGAGCTCAGCGAAGAGCCGCATGAAGAACTGCAGGGGGTGGTGGTTGGACCACGCCTGTGTCAACATCCCCAGGGGAGCCACTCGCTCAGACAGCCCCTGCACACGCACCACATCAGATAGACACCACTGAGGGAAATCGCTCCGTCTGTCCGTTCTTCCTTTCGATTACCCGCAGAGTGCATTGGAGGTTGATAAAGATGTTGCAGAGTTTCTGCGCCCTCGAGCTGAACCTGTGAATGGCCCGCCACCTGTCGCTGACGCTGGCCCGCTGTTCGACGTCAGTCGGCATCTTGACGGGCGGGATGAGCGCCACGGGGCTCTTGAAGGACACCAGGAAGTGGGAGGAGAACTGGTAGTGGTGCTGCAGAGACAGCAGGAACTGATACACCCCCTGCAGCGCCACCGCGGACGACTGGATGGTGGCCCTGCACTCCACCAACTGCGCAGTGCTGCTGGCGTGCTTGGCCTCGAGATCGGACAGCTCCTGCACACACACAGACACACAGAGAGGAGACGAGGGTCTTGGTGGGCCTGTGGGAGGGGAGCCAGTCTCGCTGTGTGTGAGGGGTGGGTGTGCTGTGTGTGTACCTTTTGTATTTTGTTGGTTTTGTTTTCGTAGTCGATGCGGTCCTTCTTGGTGACATATCCGCTGCTGTCGCCCGTCAGGCTCAGCTCCCTCAGCGTCTCAATCACAGACGACTGGGCCCTCGCCACCTCCTGCACACACACACACACACACATGGGTGACTCCGCATGGCCATTGTCTCGACCACACACCCCGACCTGTGCCTCAGCAGCGAGCCTGGATAGCTGTTTGGAGGTGTCCCTGCTAATGGTGTCGAGCAGGCTGCTGAGGGCCTCCTTGAGCACCCGCTCTCGCGTGACAGCCACCTCCTCGAGCGACACTGGGGGCGGCAGGGCCGCCGCAGACAGCCAATCGTGCAGAGGGGCCAGCAGGAGGGTGTCCATCAGGCCGGCATACATCTCACGCCACTCGCCGAGGATACACAACACATCCTCCAGTGTCTGCACTCAGTCACATACCATACACCATGCAGTCGAGACTTGAGGCTTTGTTGCTCCCCCCTCTCTCCACGCGTGGCTTATCTCACCTCTTGGAAGATGCCGTGTGTGCCGGTGGGCCCGAGGGCGTAGGAAATGATGCGCGTGAGGCGGAACGGCACACACTCGGGCACCCGCAGCCGCGCCCCCCTGTCGAAGCAGATCGACACGTCAACGTGCACCACCTCGCCCGTCCTCGCGTCGAGAAGGATGTTGTCCAGGTGCCGGTCGCCGAGGCCAATCAGGTGCCCGATGGCCGAGTGAATGGCCGTGGATGTGGCGAACGACGCCGTCAGCGCCGTGTGGTGTGCGGGGTGGGTCGACGAGAGGAACAGCTCGCGAGATATGATGTCGGGCGGCGTCTCGCTCTGCAGCTCCAAAAACACCTGACATGACAGACACAGCAAGGTGTGAGGGGAGAGAGGCTGGGTCCCTTCTCGAAGCCCTAAATCTGTCCCAAGGCCTGGCTGACCTCTTTCATCATGTCGGCTGGCCAGTCCTTCCTCTGTGTGGTGTTAGGATTCATGCCCCGCCTCTCCAGCTTCTCCTGCACCTTCCTGTGGTACGCCTCGGTCGCACCCTCAATCCGCCCCGCCACAGCAGCGGCGATCCGCGACACCAGGCGCACGGCGGTCTCGTCGGTGGGCCCACCGCCCACGCCCCCGCCGCCCTCCTCGAAGTGCTTGCGGTAAGGCTGGAACTTGTGGTGGAAGTCGGTCTCCTTCCGCTGCGAGCCCGTCAGGTTTGTGAGGGAGATGATGCCGCCCTGCTGCGGGGCCACGGGCGCAGACGCCTTCAACTGCGCCTGCAGAAGGCGCAATTGCTCCTGTGTGTGGGAGATGGAAAACAAACAGGTAATGGTGGACGGGCTTATGTGTCGGGTCACTCAATTCACCCGTACCTTTTGTATTTTCCTCTGCTTGAGGAGGGCGAAGAAGGGCACGGCGTTGTTGACCCACCGAATCAGCCCCGACCTGGGCGACAGTGGCACCACGTCATAGTGCCTGCACCGCCAGCCTGCCCTGCCCTCCTCCTCGAGCACTCTCGTCGTGAGGGCCAGGACCTGCATCAGCCGCTGATCGAGCTGCAGGTCGTCGCGGCCCTTGAGCAGAAAAGTGTGCTGCTGCCCTTTGTCGTCCTCTATAACCACCTTCTTGGGCCGCGTCTTGGTGGCCAGGCAGGACACCTTGGGGCCGAACCTGCAGAGTGGCAGGAGGGCGGGGGCGCCTGAGGGAGTAGTGGTGGGGAGGTGCAGCAGGGGCTGCTTGAGGGGCGTGTCGGTGGCCACTGACGAGCTGAGCTGCTCGAGCGAGGGGGAGATCTCACGCAGCGGCTGCGACGGGATCCGGCCGCACTCCCTGCACATCAAATGACGTTTGGTGTGTGCCTCCTGGTCTCTCTCTTTGCGCCTCACGGGTCTCACGAACGTACTTGAGTATGGCTGTCAGGTGCGTAATGAAGCTCCGCCTCATGTTGCCTGGGTCCTTGCCAGCCTCCTCTCCCCACCGCCCCTCATCCCTCCTCTCACCAGCACCACCACCACCACCACTCTCCGTTGCCCGCTGCCTCTCGTCGTCCTCACCTAGCGAAGCGTGCGCATCCAGCGCATATCGCAGCTGCGGCACAATACGCGACAGGAACCGCCTGGCGGCGATCGAGTCCACCACGGGCGCCCCGCCGCCACTGAGCATCTTGATGGCATCAACGGCCTTCTGCACGCCCTTGGCAGACGGGGACGGCGCGCTGGCCTGCGGTGCGGGGGCAATGGGCTGGACGGGGGGGAAGTCCACCTGCTGCTGCCGACCCCGCCTGCCGCCGCGGTGAGGGGGGAGTCGTTGCTGGCGTGGGGGAGTGGGCGTGGACCCGGGCTGGGGGAGGACGGTATCGCCCGAGAGGCTGACAAGTGCGGCGTGGAACTCGTTGACCTTGCCGTAGAGCAGCGGGAGGATGCCCGGCTGGAGGGACATGTCTGAGTTGATGAAGGCCACGATGCGCTCGAGGTACCGGTGGGAGACCTCATCAATGGGGTTGGCCAGGGCGGCCACGCCCTCCAACAGACCCGACAGCGCCTGCACCATGTCGGGCTGGTGCTCCCGCAGACACTCCATCGCGCGCCCGCCCTCAGATAGCCGCACTGAAGCGTCATGGCCTCCATCCTTGGCGGCATCGTCTCTCTCGGCTGCAATCGACTGTTCCGACACACTCGCGGCGAAGAGTGTGTGTCTGGGGCAGGCGTCAGAGAGTCGCCAGAAGAGGCGCAGGGCCGCCTGCCGTGAGAGGGGGTGTGGGTGGCGTGTGGTGGCCAGCAGCTGAGGCGCGACCTGTAGCCATACGGCGGGTGGGATGGCGGGTGCGGTGATGGTCTCGAGGGCCAGCTTGGGGTTGAACTGAGCGGGCAGAATCTTGAGGCACCGCAGCAACATCTTGACCAGGGTGGCGTGCGGGGGCGGCAGGATGCACTCAGACTGTTGTTCTGCACCCCACCCCCTGGCCTCCTGTGCCCCCTCTCCCCCTCCAGTCGCCTTGGGCGGCCCCACGGACATGTATCTGGCATAGGCGGCCAGGCACTCGGTGGCCGTGAGAGTCCGCCACTTGTGCAGCGACCGGCAGTACCGCTTTAGCAGCTCCACCACGGCCGTCTTGACGCGAGGGGGGAAGAGCTCGCACATGGCCGACGACGACAGCGCGTGAGACCAGTCAAACGCCGCCTCCGCCCCCTGCCTCTCCAGCTGTGCCAGGGACCGCCCCTTCTCCATCTCGGCTGCGGTTGGCGGTGCAGGGGGGTGCAGCTCGCTCCACTCCTTGACGGCAGTGCGGCAGACGCCCACCAGCTGTGCGAGCCGCTCGCGCAGCGGTGTGCTGCCGTCCTCGGTGGTGGGTGACTTGATGAGTCCCTGCTGCTTGAGCAGCTCCAGCACGTTCCACGCCAGCTGCGGCCCGTCGACCTGCCGCCGTTGGTCGTAGCACCAGTCGCCGTACCGCCGCCAGAGGTCCGCACTGTCCCTCACGATCTCACAGCCGGTCCGAAGCAGCCACCCCGCCACTTTGGGGTTGAAGAGGGGCCGGTGGGCGGCCGACAGGTGGGATGTGACGTGGTGCACTGGCGGGGGGTGCTTGGCCGCACCGGGGGGCGACGCCGACGGGTCCCAGTCTTTCTTGGTCCAGTGCTGGCCTATCGCCCGCACCACATCAGCGTCCACAGGGATGCCCGTAGAGTCGGTGTGTATGCGGCGGGTGGCGCGGATCTGCAGCAGCTGGGTCTGTAGCTGCCCGACTTTCTCCTCCAGAAGACCCCCGCTCACACGCAACGCGTCCAGCGGACTCGCGTCGCCTTCGCGAGTGCTCTCGCTGTCGATGATGACTCGGTGATGCGCGCGCAGCATGTCGACGTACTCCGTCACGAGCTGAGCCGTGAGCTGCCCCACCAGCTGGCCGCCGTCATGGTCAGCCTTGCTGAGGTGTGGGAGGAGGGCCGTGAGGGCCTCCTGGAGGCTGGTGAAGGCGTATGGGAGGCGGCCTGTGGCGGCCATGCTGTGTGCGTAGCAGAGGCTGTGCTGGGCGGCGTATATGGGGTCTGAGTCGTCCATGGGTGCGGGGAGGAGGGAAGGGTGCAGGAGGCTGAACGCGTAGCTCTGGTTGCCCGACCGCACTGCCATGTTATGCAGCCGCATCTGACACATTGCATTACACAGTCACGTCACGCAGACACACACGGGGACGTCAGTCACTGTTGTGTAGCCGCTCGTGTCCAGTGCACAGAAACTGTTTCTTTCTCTGTTCCACGCCCGCCTGTTGCCTCACTCACTCACCAGGTCGGTCGCAGCGAAGTGCAGCGGCAGACCAAGGCTCCTCGAGAACTGGAGACAACAGACAGGAGAAGCTGAATGAATCTTGACCCTCGCCACCCGACCTGCCTCGCCCCCCGCTTGGTTGTTCTCACCTTCATGTCATCGATCGAGGGCAGAACAACCTCGCCGGTCTTGCCGCCGTCAACAATTCTCTCAGTCACCCGCCGCTCCAACAAGTCCAGACATCGCAATGCCGTTGCTTGACGAGCCATGGCCCCACAGCTGCCCAGCGACACACATGGGAAGGCCGGCATCGGCTCCACCACACTCTGCGCGCTCATGTGGGTGACGATGGACGCCCGGGCTTTGTCGAGGGAGTAGTAGAAGCGCTCCAGCAGCGGAGAGGCAGGGGCGGGAGGGTGTGGCGGCGGGTTGTCGATGAGGTCGTGTGCGGTGGCTGCCGCGTCCATGAGGAAGAGGTCGGACACCTGCGGCCACTCCGACAGACGCAGCACCATCTCGTAGTGGTAGGATGAGGGCGACGGCATCGGGGGGCTGGAGCTGCTGCCACTGCCACTCTCGTCGGCGCGGGGCGAGCTCGACCGGAGGGACTCCTCCACATCCCTCTGCTGATCAGCAGCTGCACACACGATACACGAGACAGCACAAACAAACGGACCATGCAGCTGTGGCTCACGTCATCCTTGTCTGGTCGGTCTGCTTCGGTATCCTTACTTGCCCAGTCTGCCGGCAGCTGCGCCAGGGCCATCTGAATGGACGACCGGCACCCTGCCCTCTCCCCGTCTAACAGCCTCAGCTGGGCCCTCACGCCCTCCAGGGCCGCCTTGGACACCACCATCTCAGCACCGGGCTGCTCATACGTCTCCACCCACCGACTCAGCGCAGTCTTGTCGCCGAGGGCGCATGCGGCGTCCCGCCATGCGCGAGCCAGCACCACCTGCACGAGAGTGGCGTTGGCGGGGCTGAGGGCTATGGGGAGGTCGCTCGATGCGGCCGAGGCCTCGGGGGCGTCGCCGGTGGGCCGAATGACCATGACGCAGGGGCCAGTGGACTTGGCTGACGGGGCGAGGTGCGCACGGAGGCCGTAGATAAGCTGGCACACCTCCTCCAGCCTGAATGAGACACAACAGGCACACGCACAGAGGGATGTACCCATCCCATGCGTGTATCTGTCAGGTGTGCTATGTCTTGACCGACCGTCCACCCGCGAGGCTGATGAATGCGGGTTGCGCTTTGAGGAGCAGTGTGTCGCCCCGGTACACCTTGCTCAGCAGGATGGCGGCCGGTGTCCGTGCCTGTGCCTGGGGGCTCTGGTCGCCGTCCAGAAACGAGTCGGCCGACGGGGTGGTCCACAGGTGGTGGTGCTGCTGGTGGGACTGCTCCTCGCGCACCAGCTGCTGCAGGACGATGGAGCACCGAGCCTTGTAGAGGTAGCACAGACCTCTGATCGTCCCTGGATCAACGAAGACACGGTGATGGGACACACACGCACAGGAGACGTGTGTGCCGCCCACGTACCTGAGTTGTTGAGGCTGAGAGCGCTCAGCAGTGCGCTGAGGATGGTGGCCTCGAGCTCCTCAAGCCGCTTGCTGGCCGCTCCGGCGCCCTCTGCTGGCCGATGTGCCACGCTGTTATGCTGACCAGCTGCTGCAGCTGCAGCACTGGCCGGCTCGGCCAACGGACGATGCCCACCCACATCCCGACCTGCATGCCCAATTGATAGATAATCAGAGCCACCTCGGTCGCTCGCCCGTCCATTCACTGACTGACCTTCTCCCTGTGACGGCTGGGCTGTGGTCTGCGAGGCAGCGGTGAGGGAGGAAGGACCCTGCAACGTGGGCGCCGTCAGGTCACCTACAAAAGACGACACAACACAAGATTCGATCAGGTTTGATGCAGTGACTGCATTTGCCCCACTCGTGTGATTACCGGTTGTGGGTGGATGTGGCTGTCCTGTAGTGTGTGTGGACGAGAAGCTCAGCGGGACACCCGCTCGCGGCCTCAACGAGCCAGACGGCGGAGACGCCTGTGTGCCGGCCCTTGACGCGCGTGAACCCTGCAGCTGGTCGTCGTCACGGACCTCGGGGGACTTTGGCGGTATGAGGGGCGGCTGTGCGGGGGCTGACGGTCTGTCACGGAGGGCGGCTATGACGTCGACAAGCCTGGTCTCGCAGACGGAGAAGTAGCCCGGAGAAGACAGGAACCGACCCAGCTGATACACACACATAGAGAGTAGGGATGAAGCCGTGAAGGTGCGTGTATCTATCGTCTCTCTCTCTGGGTGGGTGGCTGACGGACCGTGAGTCTGCTGAAGTACCGCCTGACGCCCTTCTGGAACCAGTCTGTGAAGATCTTCCGGTTGCTCTCTGCGAAGGTGATGGAGGGCACGGACAGCAGGGTGCCCTGCACGTGTGACGGGGCGTGCACCGATACTCCATCGGACGCCAACACGCACATCTGCTCCAGCAGGTGGAGGAACAGCACCACGCTGCCGGGATGCACCAGCCCGACACACCCACCGGAGGAAGAGGTGGAAGAATCACCGCCGCGACCTGTGGACCGAACACACACAACACATACACACGAGCCGCTACGAATCCATTTCGCCATGTTGTCTCACTTGTGAATTGCGCGAGGATGTCCTGCCAGCAGGACGACTCGAGCGGCAGTGGGAAAGGGGCCTCGACGAGCTTCTTCCACCCATCAGGTCCGTCGTCGAGGGCCGCCCTGCTTGGCCCCTCCCCGATGGATGCATCGGCTGTGTCGCCCCTCATGCCCTGCAGCCACAGCCGCGAGGCCGTGCAGCTGTTGGCGGCCGACTCCTTCATCAGAGTGTGCATGTACAGCAGGAACTGCGGCAGATGCGACACAGGGGAGTCGCCCGCCTTGGCACCCGATTGCGTTCCTGCTGCTGCTGCCGCCGCCGATGAAGATGCCGGCGGCCTCCCTCTCTCCTTCGGTGTCCCTCCGCGGCCGTGACGGCCACCCGGTTCCCTCTCGTGTGTGTGTGACTGCTGCTGGCCTTCACCACTACCACCACCACCACCAGCAGCGGCTGTGGCTGCTGTGCCAATGAAGGGGAGCTCGAACCGTTGCGCCACCATGGTGTAGGCGAGGACGAGGAGGGTCCACGTGAGCTGGTGTGCGTGTGGCAGTGATGCGGGTGGTGGGAGGAAGGGGACGGTCTCGTGGACTGACGTTGGCGACCGGGGGCCGTCGGCGCCGGCAGAAGGGGAGAGGGAGGGGCGGTAAGGCGACACGAACGGATGGCAAAAGGCAAAGGCCTCGGGGTCTAACGGACCCAGCGACCTGACAATACACAGACAGACAGACAGACCTGACAATAGACAGACTCGCTCCGTGTGTTGAGCTGGCTGACCTGATGTTATTGAGGATGGTGAGCATCTCGTGGCTCGACGCTTTGCCCGCCTTGATGAGCACCAGGATCAGCGCCGGCAGACACATGACGCCCTCACCACGGCACCCCACAGCAGCACCACCACCCACTTCGGCCTCCCCGCTCTCGTCACCTCCCCAGCCGCCCGGCAGCATCCGGGGCAGCGCCAGCGGGTCGGACAGCATCTCCGTCGACCACAGGGGCACATACGACGCCCTCACTAGTGCTGCCACGCCATTCGCAGAGGCAGGGTGCCGGTGCTGGTAGAGGCGGATGTGGGCGAGGGCCGTCCGTGCGTCGGTGCCACGGACGGAGTCGTCCAGTGGCGATGGGTTGAGGAGCAGCATCTCCAGAGAGCACACGGCAGCGAACAGGCCGCCATGCAGCAGAGAGTTGAAGCGCACGTCTGGGCTGGACACCTGGAGAGCAAGGGAGCCACCCATCCCATCGGTACATGGACAGACACACTCTGCTGCGGCCTGCCCTGCCTGTCGCCCTCTTCTGACCTTATTGATGAGACTGCGGAAGGTGGCCACGTAGAGCACGGCGCCCTCATACAACGCCCTTTGAATCTCCGCAGAGGAGTCGCTCTTGACATCCCCACCGAGGACATCCATGCCTCTGGCATTGGGCGCCATCGCCACGGCGCACCTCAGCCACATTGCGTCAGGTGCATCAGAGCCGTCACTTGCCGCCGATATGGACGCAGCCAGCCTCTGCAAGATCTTGTGCTGAAACGGCAAAGGCAAAGAAAGAAGTGAGTCGGTCAGGTAGGGGCATGGGCGTTGTGTCACCTTGATGTGGGGGTCCTTGGTGGTCAGCCACAGGACGGCCGGGTGGGTCTCGATGGCCGCCAGTATGTCCTCGCGCACGGCCGCCTCGGTGGAGGGGTCAAGCAGCTCCAAGACGGACTCGCCCAGGGCGGACCACACCATGGCAGTGGCCGGCGAGTCACCGTACAGGGTCACAAGATCGCAAAGGACAGTGTTGCACGCCTGTGGAAACACAAACCACAAATACACCAACACCTCTGCATCTCTCCCTCTCAGTTCACTCACCGTCCAGCCGCTGTGTCTGATAGCGTCCCCGAGACCCCTCCAGAATCGCCCGAGGTACCTGGCCAGCCCCACCTGGCTCATCTCGCTGCCCCCACCACCCTCGGCGTCAGGCACATCAGTGCTATTCGGCACCAACACCAGCAAAAACAGCAGCGGCCACGGCGGACGGGCGTCAAGGATCTCCAGGTAACGCACCAACAGCCTACTCATGGCACGCAGCGACTTGGAGAGCTCTGGCAGGGCGGCCACCTGATCCTCTGTTGCTGCTGCTGCTGCTGGGGTCTGGGGTGGCGCTGCGAGTGACTTGACGTGTAGCTGTGCCCTGTCGATGAGTGGCGGGGGGATGGCTGGCAGGAGGGAGAGCAAAGCCGCCAGCTGACTGACGAAATACTGGACTAGGGGGACACGAAGCTGCAGGGAAACAAGCGGCAGTGGATGAGTTGTCGATGGATGTCTGGTGTGTGTGGGAGTGTGTGAGAGACTGACCTGCGGTTCGTCTCGCCCGATGCAGACTTGATATGTCTCTCTCAACGCGTCAGCAAGGCGACCGGGGCCCGGGGAGCTGTCCACACCAAAACAACCGATCACGTCTTTGTCTGAGGTGCGTGTTGTGTGCACCTGACTGACTCCTTCACTCACTTGAGCAGCTGCATGAAGTCAGGATCCGTGACATATGTGAGCGCTGTCTGTGCGTCGAGGGACGGCCCCGCAGCCTTGAGCAGCTCCAGATGCAGCTCCACCAAAGGGACCACCTGAACCACCGCCACACATGACAATCGTGCGTGCAGCTGTTCTTCGTGTGGTTGGTCGTCTGCGCGCCTGTCTGACCTTGTTTCGCTGTCCCTCTGGCAGCTGTGCGTGGCAGGCCTGGAGGTAGGCGATACACTCGCTGTACACACAGCCCACTTCTGGACCCAACAAAGCCACCGTCGCCCTCAGCAACTGGCGGATAAGCGAATGACACACAATAGAGGTTCTCTAGCCCTATATGAGTGTGTCGGCACCCCTTCTCTCTGCTGACCTTGTCGGCTGTTTTGATGAGGTCGACGTGGTGGTCTTTGATGACGGGCTTCCAGGAGGCCTTCCCTCGACGATGACCCGGCGGCTCCGCCTGAGACGAAGACGGCGCCTCCTCGGTCTCATCTACCTGACGAACGACACACAGACACACCACAGTGCAAGCAACGTACACAGACAGGTTGTACTTTCTGTGCTTCGCTCGCTCACTGGTTCAGCGGATTTGCCGCCGTGTGCCCGCTGGATGGCGGGGAGGGTGCGCAGGTCTGTGAGAACTCGTCGGTGGTCGTCGATGAGCTGGTCGATGGGCGTGGATGCCTTGAGGGCGGCACTGAAGGCGAGATGCAGCTCTAAATGGACCAGCACGATGCGCACACCCGTCTCACTCGGAGATCGGGCAACATCCTGACACACCCACCACATAGGCAGACAGACAGAGCTCATCGACAGCCTGCGCTGCCCTGCCCCAACACACAGTTCTCTCTCCCTTCCAAGGCTTCCGACCTGCATGGCTTTCTGCATGGCCACGAGTGTCCGCTTCCTCTGCGCCGCGCACCACTGGCGAGTGGTCTCCCCCGTCTCAAAGAACCGCTGCCACCTGCCGAAGTACTCGAAGACCACCTTGGTTGGGTGTGGGAGGTTCTTCTTGGCCAGGTGCATCGCCCAGCCGCACGCCGTGTCGACGATCTCGGTGAAGTGGGCCGTGAACTCGTCAGGTGCCGCGGATGCAAAGGCGTCGAGGAGAGGGAATATGGGGTTGCCGCCGGCGTCCTCGCTGAAGTTGAGCATCGGGTCGGTGTGGCTCATGAAGTAGTCCCCGTCTGTCAGGTACTGCATCAGCTGCTCACTGACCTTCTTCCGACACGCCTGCCGCTCCCTCCCCACCTGGCTGGTGTGCCTGGCGAGATCGGGTGGCGCCTGCTGTGGTGGGCCACGGATGAGGGGGTCAGCGGCCAGCAGGGTGCGGCCGATGTCCGACACGACAATGACGTCGAGGGGCTCCTGCGCGCAGTCCAGTGCGTTGGCCCACCACTGCCAGAACTCATACGACTTCTGCAGCGTCGTCACGAAGATCTCGAAGCACTTGAGGCCGTCCTGGTAGCCCGTCTGCATCTGACGCGACGAGGCTGCCTGCCCCTTGAGCTTGAGCAGCGCCGCCTGCAGACTGTTGAAGAGCTGCGTCGCGATGTCGTGTTGCTGATACTGCAGACCCTCCACCAGCTGCTGGGCCGGAGTGGTTGTCAGCAGCCGATGCAGCCATCGCACCTTCTCGAATGTCTGCAGGGGCGTCTGCTGCAGCAGCACATTCGGATCGTCGAGCGGCGAGTCCGATTGCCCGCGAGGTGGACGCTTCTCATTCCTGCGGCGGGCGGGATGGCCTCCTCTGCCGTCGGGGGGGCCGCCTCGCCCTCCTGGCGGCGGCTGCTGCAGTGCGTCGGATGATTGTGAAGGGCCTCCTCTCCGTGACGGAGCTGAATCATAGGTTGGCAGGATGACGATTGGCCGGCCTCTGCCAGCCGCTCCGCTGCTGGTTGCCTCATGGTGGTGATCGTCAGCTGATGGTGTGGGCTGCTCCCCGCTGCCATTCTCCTGCTGCCGGTGATGCGGTCGGTAGACGCGGTGGCGTCTGCCGCGCTGAGGACGGTCCATGCCGCCGATATGGCCACAGGCGACGGGCCGATGGCCGCCGGGAGCTCACGATGAATTGAAACCAAGCAAGCCGGCAACACGACGCCAAACGTCAAGGAAACTTAAGATCTTCGGCCAGGACACTTAGGACGTGTTGAGTGCTGCTCTTGCCTGCTTTTTCCTCCTCTTTTCGCGCCGGGTCGAAACTCAAAGCTCGCAAACAAGCTCGCCAAAAAGCTCGCTGCGCGGAAGGAGCACGAGGCGAAGCAGATGGCACGGTGTGGAAGATCGTCCCTCAGCGGATCATCCCTTCGTTTGAAGTAGCCACTAACGTCAATGTCACGCACTGATCAGCGACCAGCGCATTCAACGACGCCCGCCTCTGCCGCTCATGTGGCCTCTCGGTGCCCCTCGTGCAGCTCCACCCCACGCCTCAATGCCCGGGCGAGGCGGAGGGACCAGCTGCGTGCAATGACTTTCGCGTCGCTTTTGGTCTTCGCCGCTGCATTTGCTGCAGCGGATGGGATGCCGGCCTTTCTGCCGCTCCCCTCGTGTGTTGGTCGTCCTCGGGAGGGCTGTGCGGACGGGCCCGCCACTTCGCTGGAGATGCTCAAGTGGCCGACATACACTGCAGAGAAGAAGGTACGCCAACCGCAGGCAGGTCATGGGAGAGAAGGGGCGATCGATTGTCACGTTGCTGGTTGTCTGCTTGTGTGTGTTTGTGTGGTCAGTCTGGCGGCCTCATGCTTGAGGATGACAAGCTGCGTAAGGCAATCGCGTCGAATGAGCGGCTGCAGCAGCGCATAGAGGCATACGAGAGGGGCGCGTGCACCGCACAAGACCTTCTCGCCTCAATCAAGAGGTCGGCCGGCTGCATAACTATTGGCCTGGCGGTCGTGTGGATGGATGGATGTACGTGTGTGTTTCTGTGTCAGTTACTGCGACGAGTCGGTGACCAAGAAGTTCACCAAGGTCGAGCTGGTGCAGACGGTTGCCCACGATATCAAAGACAAGGCCAAACAAAGGTGAGCGAGCAGAGAGAGCATCATGAAACGCAGCCAATGTGTTATGCGCATGTGTTCAGGCAGCTGTATGATGCTCTGGAGGGCAGAGGCAGGAACAAGGCGCAGCTGGCAGGTGACCACACACATTTCAGGGAATCTATCAGGCCACGCACACCCACCCATCCGCTCGTGTGTCCATGTGTCTGTCAATGCAGGCTTCAAGTCTTCAGATCTGATCGGTGGCAAGTATCGCGTCACCATGAGCGGTCAGTCAAACCCTACCACATCCTCTCTGCGTCGATGCTGGCTCTGCATCGTTTTCTCTGTACCTGTGTGCGCCCCGTCCGGTCCACAGGCATCCAGGTGAGCAGCGGCCGATCGCGTGTGGTGGACGGTGAGCTTGTGCCGGAGTCGGAACGCAACGACGACCCGCCCCCCACCACCACTAACAACGGCATGGGCGACTCAAGGTGGGCCAACGGCAACCCCTCTAAGGGGCCAGGTGCCGACGCCGACACACTGTCGGCTCCCTCCTCATCCTCCTCTGGCCTCTTTGGCGGCTTCGGGTTCTTCCGGAGGCCATCCAGCTCGTCTCAGAAGGTCAAGGTGAAGCTCAGCAGGGGGCTGGTTGAGAGCTTCAAGAGACAAGTGAGCACCACAGGGAGGAATAAATTACGCCCAATTCATTCGCTCGTCTGCCAGGTGGAGAATCACGAGAAGATCCGCCGCAGCATCGGCGAGCGCGAATATCGGGAGCTGTTCATGCCGTTGCTCGACCACTTTGAGGATTACGACGGCAAGGGGGCGTGTGCGCTCATATTTGAGGCGGGGCAGATCGACCTGCAGCAGTACATCAACAGGTACGGCACCGACGGACAGACAGATGCCACAAATGAGGCAATGCTCTTTCATTTGTGTGTGCCTGCATGTATGCAGGAAGGGCACTGTGCGTGGGATGGAGCTGCGTCGTATCGCCAAGACCCTCACGCGCATCTTGGCGGCCATCCACAGGTCGGGGCTCGTCTGGACCGACCTCAAGACTGCTAACCTGGTCTTCCAAGGCCTCCCACCCAACGCACCGATCAAGGTGAGGAAGAGCTGCCCCCACAGACACCAACCACTCAGGAGCCATCTTGCATCCTTCTGTCTGCCAGGCTATCGATTTTGAGGACTCTGTGGCGCCTGATTCCATCCCCACCTTCCTGGACCCGCCGGTGCAGCCGCCCGAGTTGGCCGAGACGTGGATGGGCAGCTACTGGGGTCCCGAGGCGAGGGCGTCCGAGAAGCAGGACATATGGGCGTTGGGGCTGGTGCTGTACCACCTCTACACGGGACGGCCGTACTTCGAGCGGGGACTTGACAAGAGGCAGGCCACCATTCGGCTGGTGAGGCCATCTCGACCACACACCCACACAAACGGGGACGGGCCACTGTGTGTGATGGTGATGCGTTTCGTATTCGTTTGTCTGTTGTCCGTGTCGGTGTGTTGGTGCAGTTATCTGACCCGAATTTCGAGCCCGATTTGTCGATGATCAAGGACGGGCAGCTGAGGGGCTTCCTTAAGAGGCTGCTAAACCGCGACCCGAGGAAGCGGCCGACGTCAGGCCAGCTACTGCGGCTCTCGTGGTTTGTCAACAAACCAATATGACGCGGCAGGCAAGACACAACAGTGTGTGTACTGGTTTGCCAATGAAGTGGGGGGGAAGCAGTCGGGCGTACTCTCGCAAGAGCGTGGGAGGGACGGAGGGAGGGAGGGAGGGAGAGGTGTACAGTAGAGAGGGCGGCGGAGAGACAGACATCTGGGCATCTGGGATTGCTTTGCAGCCTCTTGTCAATGGCATTGATGGGCATGCAGTGCACCTCGCTATCTATGTATCGCTTCATGTGTGAGAGACTGTTAGGGCCTCTGCATCGTGTAGGTGCCTGCAGTACAGAAGTATTGCACATGGGCGGGCCAATGCGATGCATCAGGGTCGGGGGAGGGGAGGACACGCGAGCATCGTGTTGCAATCGTATTGTGTGAATGGTCTCATCACGCATTCAGCTATCATGAACGCACGATACACGCAGTCCAATCACTGCAACATTGCCGCCACCTGCATGTATCCCTCCACCGCCACGCATCACATGCCACTCACGCCGGGCAACATGTACACACACAGCCATGAACGGCACGTCCACACCTCACACACATGAAAAGCCGTCTCATTCTCATACGCCCGCTACATACCTGCAGCTGAGGCCTGTGCTATCGAAGCGCCGATCGTGAGCTTACTGTCTTGCTGCGAGCACAAAATGATGGTGCCCTCCCCGCTGCCAAGTTGTGCAGGCACGGCAGACTCGAGCAGGCTGCGCGTGTGGGCGTCCATGCCCAGCAGCTGGAGGGCCACCGTCTCGCAGTTGAGCTGCAGCAGCGACCTCATACTCGAACAGGCGAACTCGACAAAGTCGGAGACGCCGGCGGGAACTGGTGAGATTGGACACACAGACGAACAGACACAGACACACATTCACATGCAGATCTCTCTGAGGTCTCTCTCTCCGTGGGGCTGTCAACCCTCCAATCCACCCACCTGTGAGTTCGACAAGTACTTTGGTGATCTGTGGGAATCCCTCTCTATGCTCCCCTATGTCGATGCCCCCGCTGCCCACCCCCCGAATGTCACCCACAGTCACCATGTCGAGCTCCCGCTCACACCCGATCGCCTTGATGGCCTGCAGCGCCTGATCCATCGGCACAGCGTCCTGGACAGATAGCACCCGCAAGTTGGGCATCTTGCTGGCCGGCTGGGTGCCGGCCGCCAATGCCGTGTGCTTGCCGAGAACCAGGGTCGACGCCTGGGGCATCGGCTGCATCTGGTGGATGATGGCAAGGGCAGGGTGGGAGGGGGCGGGGGCGGCCTGTGCAGGCTGGTCGACACCGAACACATGCACACGCGTGGCCTTGTTGAATGCGAGGCGTCTGGCCATGTCGAGCACCGCAGGCGTGGGAGGGGTGGCGAGGTCGGACATGAGGTCCACTCCCACCACAGTCGCCTGGTCTGCCAGCTGGCGCATGAGTGTCTTGAGGACGGGGGAGGGGGCAGCGGGGAAGAGGGAGCTGTGCAGAGTCATCAGGCTGAAGAATCCTTCAGCACTGGTGAAGCTGATGGGGACGTCCCCGACGCACACCGCACTGGCGAATGTCTGCAGGGCCTCGGCGAACTCGAAGACCTCGTGGTCCACATCCGCCTCGTCGACGAACTTGACCTTCAGCGACTTGAGGGACCGACGACAGCCTCGTGCCTGGAGAACCAACCCCAGCTCCTAAGAAAGGAAATGACATGGGTCAGTATCATTCAAGCATCTGTTGTCCATTCCGTGTTAGCAGCCTGCTGACCTGCAACTGAGTGCAGCATAACACCAACGCCTGCTGATTCGTCATCAGGTCGCCGGGGACCTCAATCGGCCCGATATCCTCCAAATTCGCCAGTGGCCCCGGCTGTCCCTCCTCTGCAGCAACAGGCACCTCCTGCAGCACCTCGGCCTTCTGGTCAACCGTCGAGGGCACGTCGAACACCCTCAGGCACCGCGACGATCCGACGAGGAGACGCAGAGTATCGACGTGCTCGTGCGCCTGCACCCGCTCCAGCGACGGGACGCGCCAGCCGCGGCTGCCGATGCCATGATGGTGGGCAGTGAGGCCGCTGATGGATGTGAGGGCGGGGAGGGAGGGGGGCGGGGCGCAAAGAGGGGGGAGGGTGGGGTTGGTGCGCCTGACGGACGGCATGTCCTCGTCGTTCAGCTCAACCGCCTCGAAGGCGATCGTCGTGAGTGAGCCGTCGGGGATGTCGGCCGACTCTCCCCTCCTCTCTGCCTCTGCCCTCTTCTCCGCGACCATCGCTGTGCGGCCCTCTGTGTGGCCTTCGATGAGTGCCGAGATGACGTCCAGACACCAGGCCCCCTCGCCAGCCGGGTGACAGCTCAAGATGCGGGCGATCTTCGGCATGCGGCCGCCCCACCTCTTGGCCACATTGACGGGCATCGTCTGCCAGAAGGCCCTGTCGGCGGCCCTGGAGCAGTCGATGTCCACTTGGTGGCACTGACCCCCGGCCTCCGCGGCGATGCTGTTGTTGAAGAGCGGCCACACGCCATAGCCCGAGATGAGAATGAGGTCCTCACGCGACAAACGCCTCCCAGCCTGCGATGGGAAAAGATCCGCCATCGTCGAATGCATCGAATTTGGCTTCCTGGTGGTGTTACCGGTCCTTCATT